TGAAAGGCTGACTTTTGTGTGTCTCAGGCCTGCCAGCAGGAAACAGGTAGCACTTGAAAAGCTGTGACCATGGTAATACCAGACTAATGTTGTGAGGAAGTTGTTGCTATGGCAAGCATCCTGTGTTTAAAGAAGAGTGCAGTCCATTATTGGTGAGGGGGAGGGGTTGCCATGGGGACCAGGTACCGTGGCAAAGAATAAGGTTAGACAGATAGATGGGTTTGCCAGTAGAGCATGCCTTGGATTAAAAATCAAATATTATCAATTTAGAGTCACCAGAGGTGATTCCTGTGTGTACTGGTCACTATCTTGGTCCAAACCTTTGATTCTAGTAGACTCATAATACCGCCTCATTTAAGCTTGAGCATGAAAACTGACATTACAGTGACATTTACAGCATTAATCTATAACTATAATAGTTTAATGAGTATCTGGAAAACAATGAGGTTTCATTGCTATAGATATCATTTTAAGCTCAGTACTTTATAAAAAATAATTTTTTGTCATATTTGCTGAAACTTTCACTATATCCTGACAGTAGTATATGAGACAGTTAATCTGTAAAAAAAAAAAATCCTCTGGCTCCTCCTAGTGCTCCTAATGGTATTTGCAAGAATCCACTGTGGCTGAATGAAAGCAACCAATCAGAGTCGAGAAAGAAAGGAAGACACTTTGGGTTGGTGGCTTGAAGATAGTTGATTGTTGTGTCTCATTCCCTGCGTCAGTATTTAACAGACTGGGAATGAGACTATCTTTATCAGCTGTGGATATGTGCAAATGTCGCAATGCCTTTTCAAGAAGGTGGTTGAACGAATGAAAGAGGGAGGCTGTGTTTGAACAAAACAAAAATGGCTCAAGCAGCTCCAGCAGTTCACTTTTATCACCGGAGCAACAAGACTGCAGTACATTAACAGTCATTAACAGTTAGGTTAATCGGAGTATGCACAGCTGCACATAAAGGAGAATATTCATTTTCATTTGAAATATAAACAGCTTAGTAGGAATATTGTCTTTTGCAGAATAAGAAAAAAAATATTAATATATTGTGCATGTAAATGTAGTGAGTGATGTTGGTAAGGTGCCTGAGCCTAAAGGACACCAAAAGACAGCACCCATCCCAGCCACAGCCTGTCCACTCTGCTGTTTTCTGGCAAGAGATACAGGAGTATCCGCTGCCGTACCACCAGACTACAGAGCATCTTCCTCCCTCAGGCTGTGAGCCTCATCCTCCACCATACTGTGTATGACATTGTACATTCTGTATACATTCTGGCTTTATTTTATTTTTATTTGTCTTTATTCTATTCTAATCTAGATATGAATTAATAAAATTACAAAACAATTTGTGAATTTACATGTCTAATGTAAAATAACGTGAAAGATCTGTAACTGTAAACAATACTAAAATGACTGCTTATTTGAAGAAAAAAAACCTAAAATTTTTTGGCAGATATTTACTGTTTATGTAATAGAATAAATTCAAATTTAATACTTTTACAACATTTCTAACAAAAGTATTTGTTCAGTAATTTTACGAGGATTTGTTCATTAATTGACAGATATCTTGTATAAATATGGAAGTTTTCAACTGATCAGTGTATAAACATTAGTAAACTGTCAAAATACAGTTTTCATCACTGAAAACAGCAATAATTACTGTAATTTCACAGATGGTTACTTTTATTATAGTTCTATAACTTAAAATTCAGATTAAAATTAGAAAATCTAATAATAACAGCACTCTTCTGTAAATTTAAGCCTGGTTATTTGTATTTTAGCAGTGTTTGCCTGTATTTATAGATAATTTCATTGTTTTACATGTGTAAATATCTTTGATTAAACATGAAAAAGCCATAAATACATATCATTTGTATGTAAAACTAAAGCTGAAAACTATATATATTTTAATAGAAATTATAGAAAATTATTTTTTGTTGACTCAGCTACTTTTTTCACAGTGTGTCTAAAATGACAATAAATTAACCTTAATATGTCTGTTTATGGAATATGAAAGCATTTCTTTTAAAAATGGAGAGTCATTGCTTTCATTCAGGTTTTTATAAAATGCTATTTTTAAGCACAATCCACTGAGTAGAGATTTCTGTGCTACTTTGTATTTATCTGCGATTGGCTACATGAGACACAATTTTCTCTTCTCATTGTATGCCTTCATTAGACAGCACCAGCAGAGAGTTGGCGGGAAACAAGGGAAACAGAGATGCAACAAAGGCTACCTGGCAGTTTCTCACACTCATATTACAGCTTTAATATTAAGTAAATCACTCCCCAGATTTCTCTGTGTGCATTAAATGTTAAAGTTACTCACAGCCTCCAGTTGATTTTGCTCGTTTTGCAAGTTAAATCTTATAGAGAGTTTTTCAGCAGAAATGTGTTAAATTTCACAGCACATTACAAATGTTCATCTCTCACATTTCCTCCTTAACTCTTATAAAAGGACAAAATAAAGTAATATGTAAATTTATGGGAAAATCTTTGGTCAGTTGCCGCAGGAGAACTTGGTCATACTGCGCATGCCAACAGTCCAGTTTCAAGCAAAATATGCAGGTGGTCAGAGGTGTAGATCTGAGTGGACAAAACAGATTATTTTCAGGGTTTTTGGTCATTTTAATTTCCAGTTGTTTCCATGACTGGAAAACTAGTCTCTAAAAGTCCAGTATTCCAATTTTCCATGTTTTCCAGGACGTGAACCCTGATTACAGTCATGAACTCGGAGGGTATTATCTCACTTACACCACAGTCACCTGCCAACAAAATGCCATATAAAAAAAAAAAAGTTGTTAATTTACATCTAGCCTGCAACTCATTTTGATCTTGCTTTTCTGTTACAAAGATCATAAAATGTTCTGAGCCTCAGCATCATTTGTGTTGCTAGGCAACATCTAGCTAGCTAGAAAGAGGTATAGGGCTGTGTTCAGTAATATTAAAACTGACTTTCCAGCATAGGAAAAGGTTACATATTGTGCTCACATTTCCCTCAGTGGCTTTACAGGTGCTCATTTAAAATGGAGCAATTTCAAATTTTTTTTCTACCTCAATTGAACAAATTCAGATTCACAAATTCCAATATTTCAAAAAATCAAGCTGTCTTATCTTGTTACATTCTGTCAGTCATGTGATTAGTTATTTTATAACTTAAGAGTATTTAAATAATTTTCCCCTGGGATTATTAAAGTATTTCTGATTCTGATTCGGATTAATTTTACTGAAAATACGAGCGGAACACGTATTCTTGGTAGCCACAAAGTTTACGTTTAAAGTTTTGAACTGAATTTTGTTTTACCTGATTTAAAGGACCATTGTGTGGGCTTTAGAGGCATCTAGTGGCGAAGTTGCAGATTGCAACTAACTAAACACAGCTCATATCAGTTTTTGATGACCTGCTTTAGAAAACGGGCTGTGAAGTGTGTAGGAGAAACTAGGGTGGTTGCAAAACTCATGAAAATTAGGAAAGGCCCTATCTACAGCCAGTGTAGGAAGGTTTATCCTTTTTGAGCTAAACATGGTGGTTCAACATCACAGCCTTTGTAGAAGACACACTCCCTCTGTAGATAAAGAAAGGCATACAGTTTTACAATTTCTAAACCATTAAATAAAAACCACATGAATTCAGCTAGATTAATTTTTTCAAAGTAAAATAATGCAGATGTACTTAAACTTTGATATTAAGTATTCAGTAATGCTTTTAACATTTAGGTATTCAGTTGCTTGTCAGATATATTATTATGGCTATTATTTACTTCCATATAAGTGCTTTATACTTATCACTACTATATACTATACTATAATAATATACTATAAAAAGTATTTATTTTGCTCAATCCCTTTTTAGAGATTTTTTTAATAGTACTCAGACGGGCTTTCTGTGCAGGGCATTGATTGGGCCTGTGGTTGATGTTTTCTGGAGTGTTGTCAGTACTGGGCTTCAGACAGCCATACTGGTCTGAGGCAGAGGTCAGTGTAATGTCCTGGTAGGAAAGAGCTGCAGCAGATGCTGGACGCACTGATCGTTGGTTAGGGGCCATTTAGCACCAGTAGACCTGCTGCTCTAAACTGGTGACCCTACACCATGCTCACGCTGCGGCCACATATGCCCGGGTAAACACAAGGCTCTGTGTGTGCACACACCAGAGGGCTGCACATCAGCTGCTCCCTCTCACTCCCAGTACACTCTAAAACCTGACAACAATAAAACTGTATAAGTAACTCAGTTGTTTTCAGTGCAATTAAATGTGGACAGTATTTTAAGTACAGGCGATATAATTCCAGTTTGTTCCATTGACTCATTTTCTTTAAGTTGACTTTATATCATGTAAGCATTTTAACATAGCATAGCTTAGGATTTTTCAATTTTTGTTTTTATTTCAGCTTATTAATCATCATAAGCCCAAGTATGCATTCAAATAATTAATGATCACCCAAAGTATCAAATAAAAAACAACAAAAAAATGAATTCAATTCAATTCAGTTTTATTTGTATAGCACCAATTCATAACAGAAGTTATCTCAGGTTTCTTTTCAAATAGAGCAGGTCTAGACCGAACTCCTTATAACATTGGAAATTAACTACTAGTTTGATCATGAACAATTATCAAACAATAAAAAATTGTAATATAATATCATCATTTGCTTTAGTGGGGAAAAAAATTCAACTTAAGTGGTAACATTTGTATAAAGAAGAGGGATTTAAGTTATTTGATTCAATTTCTGTAAACACATTGTGAATAAGTTTGGAGAAATACTGCACGAGTTTAATCTCAATTAACTGAATGGAACTGGTACAATCTAACTAATTTAACTTAAAGTTATCTTAAATAAAATAAATACTTGAGTTACTTCTACTTACTTACTACTCAAACTAAATATCTTTAATGCTTAAATTGTTTGAGTGAGTTAACTCATCAGGTTTTACAGTGTACCTCCCCTTCATCACCTTCGCACAAACACATTTTTCTCTGCAGCTCACTCACCAAAATCCCCTGGATTGTCAAAACAAGTTTTATTGGACAAAATCTCAAAGCACAACATATATTTATGGTAAAATACATCATTTGATACTGAATTGAACATTTACAGAAATATGTATAAAGGCTCCATTTTCAATAAACATTAACATCGGTTTACAAAAGCATTTCAGGCGAGGCATTCAAAACAATACTGATAGATAATAAATCAATATGTACTCTCCCTTTACAAATGGAAAGAAGAGAAACTTCTCTCTTTTGGAATAAAAACAGATTTTCAGCATGCGTGTGTAGGCAAAAATACAAATAAAAGAATGTCTGTAAAAGGATTCCAGCTTTTATCTTTTGGCACTGCGAGCCAAATATTTGTCATGTAGATATCCCGTATTGCTCCTTATGAAGGTCTGCTTAACAGGACAATCAGTATCAGTAAAGGAGACTGCTATTCATTCATGAAGCACAAATACAGATCACAGCAAAATACTCCAAAAATGACTTTCACACAGTAAACCACATGACGCATGCACTTTATGCTACAGGGATGAACAGGCGCGTTCATGCAGCCACAATGGAAAACAGCTCGGCCATACAGTACGTCCAATACCTACGTCAATGTTAGTCTGCAGTTTCTCTTCTGCTAATACACATTCCACCAGCAGTCCTAGAAAAGTCCAAATCAAATTACAACTCATAAGAAATATTTATCTATTGCATTCATTTTAACATGTTCTTATTTGGTCAAAATTTGAATTATTGTAACCTATTTTTCTGCAGCATTAGCACCCTCTCTATAGTCACCAGTGGGCTGTAATGTGATTGGTGCGTCTGTGTGGGCAGCCACAGGACCGACATGATTTTAGAAATATAAAGGTCATGAATCCAACACCACCTCCCCAACTGATTCATTTTGTTCATTTATATCAGAACATGAAGGTCTCCACACACGGGACTACGGAAACATTTTGGTGCCACTCCATAATAATAATAATAATATCTCGTAATAACATGAAAACACCTTGTTAAACTTGTTAACTTATATTGTTATAATGCAACATTTTAACAATGTAAGTTATCAGGTGTTGTAATAATGTGTGTCATAATAACATTAAAAAATATCTTGTTATAAGAATAAACTTTTCACATTATATGACAGCGTGGCAGCAATACACTGCCATACAGGACGGAGATTCTGGTGCAGAAATACTAAATCCTTTTTTGTTCATCTAAAATTAGCCATATTTCAACATATTCAGACTACAAACACTGGGACCAACCTACAGTGTACAGGACCCCTCCTGTGTTAGTTTTTAATTAACCCAAATTCTCCCCCTACAGTACATGACCTCAAGTGGCCTTAATGGCAGCCAGATCTGCGCTCACAGAGTAACTGGGCTGGTTATTTTCCGTCACTACATCTGGACCTCAAGAGAGACAGCTAATGCTAGCTGACAGCTTCCTTTCTATAACGCAGGACTAACAGCAGCGAGTGTGCGGGAGCTGCCAATGACTCAGCAGGCATTTAAATAACCTCATCAAAAAGTAACGTGCAGTGGGAGTCAGTGCTAAAGCTAGGCTAACTAGCTTCCATGCTAGGCTAACTGAATCCTCCCAAATGTTGAATGTTGTAAAGGGACACACAGCTTGGTTGATACCTACACCATGTAAAAAACAAAACAAAGGACAAGGTAAAAAAGACAGCAGTGTAGCACAAGTTGTCTTCTAGCTCGAGCCTTAGCCGTCATTTCAACAAATATGTCCAAAAACTTCATCCTCTGTTGCACAATGGCAGCAGTTTCATTAAAGTTTATATTTCCTCACACGCACAAAAAAATCATTTCAACTTGAATTCAGAGCAAAACATCCATTTGTGTCTGAGCAGACTGATACAGTACGGGTTGCCAGATCTTCAGTCTGCTGTAGGAACAGGACTGGGAACATTAAAGTGCGCACTGTTGGCAACATGTGCTTGGGTACATCTACATCTACAGACTTTATTACATTTCCTATTTTGCAGGGCCAAAACAAAACTGCTGGACCGTGCTGATTGGCTTTTGGACTTTGGACAAGACAGGACCTTGGGCTTGAACATGTGATGGGTTTTTCAGTCGTTCTTGATTAATCATAATTATAATAATATAATAACAATTACCACAACATACAATGATATTACAGACAATAATATTCAGACTTTGCGTCAGCAGTTGGTGTTTGTCCCTTTCCACTTTCGACATAAACAAAGCTAGCCCCATACCGAAATGGTTTTCCCAGTTTGGTGTGGGAGACCAGCCTCCACAGAAGCTTGACCTCAACCCCATTAACACCTTAGGGATGAACTGGAACACCGCATTCGGCGCTGGACCTCCCTAATGCCCCTGTATCTGAATGGGGGCAAATCCCTACAGCGAGGTTCATCATCTGGTGGGACCCCTGAAACCAGAAGATTGGACCAATGTTCTACCAGCACATTAATGTCCATGGAATGACATGATCAACTCTCACTAGGCTGGAATTTGTTCATATACTTTTGGCCATATAGTGTATTATCTTAAGTGTATTTTAAACATTGGGGAATCTGAGAAGTTAGGCTTATTTTACTAAACAAAATAAAAGGTTTTGGTGTCTTCACAGTGCAATGATGTATAAAACAATCAGGTTTGATATTGGCACTGGAATCTTAAATGTGATGATAATATATTAGCCCTGATGGTTTTGGAAGTTCAGAGAAGAGTTAAAATAAGGAAATGGAGACGAGAGAAGTCTAAAAAACAAAATGTTGATTTGTTCTATTATACCAGTTTGCCGGTATGCAGGCTTGAGGCTGGCCCTTTAAAGAAATCCGCACTGTGAACCTGTGATATGGATGTGATACACAGTTTGATTGATTGCACGTTTTAAAAAGATCAATTCTACAGTGGTTCCATGCAGTCAATATTTGACATTCAGTCAGCTTGCATGAATGTTTAATGTGATAATAATTCTATGTTTTAAGTAAAGAATTCATGGTATAAATGCTTTTTTTTCTTAAATCAAGGTATGCATGAAAATAGTAGAATTTAAAGATATTAAATTATTTGCATAAATGACCAGACACCAGCTTCAATAGACAAAAATGAAGCTCTGGTGCAGGAGTGAGTGGAGATCCAGAAGCTGTGATCTCCGTTCAGTCTGTTGTGCCTCTCCAGCAGCTCCTTACTAACAATCTGGATTTCCCTTTTTTTGTCCAGCAAAAGCAGCGCCTGACTACAAAAACTGTGTCTGTGGAGGAGGTTAGAGTGTTGCATGAGTCTGCGGCCTGCTCACAGCAGCAGGAACTGATGCAATGTTCACGCCATGGTGTACCCGTAGCTCCCACAATGCAGCGCTACCAGCAGCCGGTCTCTCAGGACCTCCTGGCTCGGGTATTCTGGGAGCTTCAGCATGTTGATGCTGCAGAGAGGAGAGAAACATCGGTCAATCCAGTGGGCCGCTGCGGTCAAGACGACTCAGATTCAGCCAGTAGAGGAGTGATGATGTCTCATACCTATCCCAGACACAGACCTGCAGGCATAGGAAGGACCTGTTGCACACTCCACTATACAGAGAGCTCTCCCTGTTTAGTGTGTGAGGACACCACTACCCAGAACTCAGAAGAGACATACTGCCCTCTAGTGCTTTGGAATATCTGTAATATCTGTCCCTCAGTTGAGGCTGTAGAGTACTGTACTGGCTGTGTCTGTTTATTCACTCCTTAAAGACAGGGATCCTTACAGTGCTAAGTTTCTTTCTGTGAGTAACAAAACTAGAACTTTGGCACTACTGTTGAGCATCCTAGCCAAAACAATGGGATGAACCAGGGCAGGAAGTTAGGATAGATTTACTGTTTGCAGAACAGAGTCAACTGACTTAAGATACAAACCTTGCCTAAATGTTGCATTATTTGCTGAAATTGGAATTGCAACTAACAACAAAACAAGCAATTGAGACAAAACATTCAGTAACATTTTGTTTTACAGGTCCTATACTTCCCGATAACATCCTAAAAAGATCATTCTAAATTCAGTTTCTGGAACTGTAATTTCCCAATAATTGTAGGGAAATGGAGACAGTGTTCAATTAGTACACCTCCAGATAATTCATTCCAATTAACTAAGAGTAAAGTACTTTTAGTTTTTTAGTCACTAAATATGCAATGACATTTGTTTACATGTAATAGGGTTGGATATCATAATTTGGATTTTTCTGATACTGGTGTTAAAGTAATACCTTTCCGGTGTCTAAACGCTGCCTCAATCAATACTTTAAAAAAACAAGAGCCGCTGTAAATTTGAAATTGAAATTGAACACTATTAAGTGTTAATGGTTTAAAGCAGGGGCCTCAAACTCAAACTGGCTTGGGGCCAGTGCTGCTATTGTCATTTCATAGGAGGGCCACTTCAACATTCAGGTAGAGTAATATAATTTAGGGCTGCACGGTATGGTAAAATCATCAAATTATTTTGACAGATATTACGATGATAATTGAAATTATGGTCTAAAGAAATGATGACGCATCTACTATTTATATCTACACAGCCCATCTCCAGGGGACGCCCACACTGCAGGCTGGCAGTTGAGCATGGTGCCTCCATTAGCTTCCCCACTTCACAAGCAATTGTTTTAAACATTTGTTGAACGTCCTGCCCGGTGTTGGAATCCTTTTGAGCAAAATACAGCCACACTTTAGAGTTTAGTTCAGCTCTTTAACTGTGTTTAAGGTAGCTAGTAACTAACGTAGGGCTAGGCTACCTGCTGCCAGATCCATGTAGAGTGTTGGTGTACTGTTAACCAGCTATAGCACATGTGCGGTGGTGCCTCCGTTGCCTGTAACATCAGCACCAGAGAACATCTATTTCAACAGACTGCTCTAGTACGGAAACGAGGCACCGACATCTGCGTTGTGATTTGGCTAAATAAAAAGCCAACTGGACTCAGTTGAGGGAAAAAATACTGACACAACAAATCAAGGATAATAAAATCTTAACAGAGCAAGAGCAGACTGACATGAACAGAACTAAGTCAACAGTCATTACCAGGTACTAGAGGTAGGCAGTAGGTTGGAGGTGTATGGCACTGCAGCAATGGTGAACTTTTGTAAACCGCTGCCACCCATCAGGTAGGCAAAGCCACCATGAGGAACCCTGGAACTGACAGAGAAGGACACTTTACTACAAGAGACATTCAGTTGTATCTCTGTATGAAGAACCACAGTGGGAATCCAGCAGACCAACCTTCCAGTGACAAACTGAAGCAGAAGAACCCGTTCCTCCTGGGTCAGGCTCTTCACCACCTCCCAGAACCACTTCAAAAAATGCACACAGATTAGCTGATGGCCAACAGGAAGAGATTCTTAAAATAACAGATAATTACTTGCTTCTCATGGCAGACTGGTCTACTTACCAGCAACGTGACTCCGTAAATGTTGAGTACCCAAAAGATTTATGTTTAATGTAGAGTATGGATCCGCAGAATTCAGAAAATCTGACATTTTCAAAATGCTAAACGGCTGTTTAAACTAGAAGTGACCATATTTCAACTCCCGGTAGCAATGCATTATTTTCTTAATGCAATGCAGAGCAATTCACCTGTATTTTCAAGATACAAGTATTTGATGGGAATTTGGAATGGGCAGATAATCTGTGTTAAATTGTGCTTATCCAATCATATCTGTGATTTATTGCATTTTGTACGATTTTAAATAGCCATAAAAAGACCTTGAGTAAAGTATAAGATGACATAAGTGATATGGGCTGAAATAATATTCACTTCCAGATGGGTATGAACACAGTGATTGAACATATAAAGGAGGAGGATAAGCCCTGCTTGGGTTATATCCAGGTTATGGCACATTTTATAATTCACAGTTTCAAAAGTGAAGCAAAGCTTGATGAATAAAAGATGTGTGTAAACTCAGAGTCACGTATAGTGGTAAAGATCAAACGAGTGGGCACATCTGGCTCTCAAACTATATGCAGAAGTAAAGACTGAGGAAGGAGAAAGGAGCCTGATGTTTTACCTGCTGTCAGAAACATATAGTCTGATGACACACTGCATCACTTATGGCATACATTATTCTGCTCTTGTGGTGCAAAACTATCCAGGAAGCTATCGTTTAAAACATTTATCATCAGTCAAACAAATGATGTATTGCGCGGTTAATGCTGCTTTCCTTCAATTCTTTTCAAACTAATTCAGTGTGAGGTTTGAAAACCCTAATTGGTAGACATCAACGTCACTGGGAACCCGGACGACTGAAGTGAAACGTAATTGTTTGGTCTTGAAGGATTCGGTGCGTGTTGTGGCTGGGAGAAGAAGAGCCCACCTGGATGACTGGCTCCTGAGGGTCGTAGCCACTGGTGTACTCAGTGTTCCTGCACCAATCCTGCACATCGATCTCTGGCATCCCTGACAGCAGGAGCTCCTGCGCGCACACACACACACACACACACACACACCGCTGTTAAATTTCTGCCGCCACGGTATCAGAAATGGGGCAGACGCACAATGTAGTCACGGTTGCCTTTTAAATGATCCTGCCGACATAATGCACCCCCGTTGGCTGCCGCTCACATTGCAATTTAACAACAAGGTTCCGGACGGGCCTGCCCCCACTGCTAAATAAAATCCTAGAGGAAACACTGGGTACTGATTTCATCACCTCATATCAGAGTATATACTGACACTGGGTACAAGGCTTTTCTCACATTTAAAACCACAGTGCAGAACTCATTTATTCCTTCTGTTTTATTTAGTTCAAGTTCTTGTACGGTCTCTGCTGCAAATTATGTGAGTTTAATAAGGAATAAATCCCAATGGACCCTTTGGAACATGGATTAAGTTTCAAAATGGAAAGAAGGAGAGCTGGGTGGTTGAGGTTAGGGCTGCTTTTCATTATTGATCAATCTGTCGATCATTTCCCCCATTAATTGATTAATTGTTTTTTGGCCCAGAAAATGTTGAAAAATGTTGATCCCAAAATGTTTCCCAAAGCCCAAGTTGACGTCCTCAAATGACTTGTTTTGTCCACTACCCACACACCAGCAAATTGATTATCAAAATAGTTGGAGATTAATTTAATAGTTGACGACTCCTTGTTGGAGCTTTAACCCATACCAACAATATGTCAGTAACGATATGTTATACTGATTTCTCTACCTCTTTAAAAACCACTCACAAATATATTGTTTTAATTTCAAAAAGGCTCAGTAGTTTGCTCAAACAGCTGCTCACTGTAGTTTTATATCAAATGTTACTCAAACAGGAGGGAATAGAGGCTCTGTAGGGGACTATTTTCAGCGGTGGATTAATATACATTTGGTGCAGTAGTGGGGCAGCAGGACAGTGTGTGGGATTAAGTCCAAATAAACAACAGTGTGTGTTCATGGTAATGAAGGAACATGTCACCCAGTGCAACTAGAGCTCAGTGGCACAAAGGAAGATCAGGCTTTGATACACGCAGTACTCGTTAGATACAATCACAGTTGGTTTAAGTCACATGACATTAGTTGACAGTCTGAAGGATAAAGAAAACTGAAAGTGAAGCAGCTGTTGTGCTGCTGTCGTCAGTTGCCCTGTAATGACAGCATGACCGAGGCATGTCCAACAAATCCAGGGTGGGATAATCATTGTGCTCCGCTATTGATCCCCGCAGGAGTGAGGACATGAAATCTGCCGACACACACAGAAAAAACCCTCTAATGGAGTTGGAGAAGAGGGAGGGGCTTCAAGGTGACCCCATCCCCCACCCAACCCAAACATGGCTAACCAATTCCTGCATCAGAGCCGAGCCAAAAGGGAACAAGGAGAACTGTAAAGACAATGGATGAGAGGAGGAGGAGGAGGAGGAGGAAAAGTAAGGAGGGACAGGGAGGTTGGAGGAGGAGGACGACTAACCAATTCGTATTCGTCGAAAAGCTGGATGAGTGAGGCAGGGATGAAGGTGTGGAATCCTTGAAGGAAGGCGTTTATCTGAGGCTGGATGGCTCGCGTCATCCTCAGCTCCGTCACCAGCTGGACGTACTCGGCCTGACACACACACACACACACACACACACACACACACACACACACACACACACACACACACACACACACACACACACACACACACACACACACACACACACACACACATCAAAGTCATCAAAAAACATTGATGGACAAGAGAAAGAGAGACAGAGACAGATAGAGATAGAGCTCATACAATTCTTTCTGCTCCTGTTGAGACTGTTCTCTGCTTTACAAGACAGTGCCATCTGCAGGATTGCTGCAGTACTGCACTCTCTAATTAGAAGTCTTCCAGGCAATAAGCTGGAGGAGAGAGATCAATGGCTCATAGAAGACCGACTATAGATGAATATACTAGAGGAGAACTCATTAACGCCACCTTCAGCCATACTGCTGCAGCAGGATGGCACAGCAATACTCAACTCAATGTCCAATGTTCTCATCAGACTTTCAACAGACCAAATCTAAGTACTTTACTGGAATTATATTTGAAATGAAGATACTTCAGGAAAAAGGGGACTTTTGGAAGATTTGAACTAGAGTAGGGTGATATGGTTTAAATTAATAACAGTATTTCTTTAGATCGTCATCATACGGCACACAAACTCACATATAAGGATTGTTAAATTGCCAGTCTCCATATTGGTTTTTGCTCAGGCCACTTATCTCAGGCCAGTATCTCAAAATAATGACTATGTCATTATTTTGAAAGTTTCTCATTATAATGAAAGAATCCTTTTGTTTTGTCACATTGGAAGAAAAGGGCTTTCATAGATTCACACGGTTATAAAATAAACAGATCCAAGTCACATATGAGCAAAAACACTAGATTTGGGCCACTTATGTTGTTGCGGTCTGTCTGTCTGTCTGTCTGTCTCTCTCTCTGTCTCTCTCAAATTCAATTCAAATTAAAATTAAAAATGGGCTTTATTGGCATGAAAGTTTTTTAAAAACAATATTGCCAAAGCAAAGTATTCAGATACAATGTGAATGTGATTTAGTTTGATCTCTAATCACTAGTGTCTACTAGTGCTCTGCCATGTTTAGACTGATTTAATCTGACCTTATTCTGCCATGACCAACATACATGTAACACCAGGAAACTTTAAACTTATAACTTTATTAAAGTATTTCTATAAAAAGGATATAAAATAAAGGTTTTCCTCCGAGCACTGAGCTTCCTCCTTCAACCAACCAAACAAACAAGTTCTTGCGTTATGTTGATACTGGGTGACATGATGCCACTGACTAGGTTTGTGGAGACTGACCTTGTTGTCCTGGGTGACCAGGATGCTGGTACCTCCAGGTTTGAGCGGTACTTCCTCCATCGCCCCGAACACGTCAGTCTCTACAGAGAAGGTGAGCTCCAGACCCAGATCGCTGATGTCGTTGTCCAGGATCCACTGCAGGTTCTTGGCATACTCTGGGTCGATGGACGACACGTCCTGATAGTTCACCGGGATGCCTGGAACGCACACACACACACACACACACACACACACACACACACACACACACACACACACACACACACACACACACACACACACACACACACACACACACACACACAATATAGTACAGGAGAGCATGAGTGCTGAATCCAAGAGACTAAACCTGAAGGAAGGCAGATACATAATGCTCTAAAATGTCAGCCAAATGTTACATTTTTTAATATATATGTATATATTGTAAAGTAGCGCAAGTAACGAGAGGCAAATATTTGCTTCACTTTTGGTGGGAACGCACTATAGGACTTCTGTAACATTAAAGAGGCTCTATTCGCAGAAATGGAATAACTACATTTTCATGTATAATCTAGTGCTGTCAAACGGTTAAAATATTTAATCGCGATTAATCACATCAATGTCATAGTTAACTCGCAATTATTCACACATTTTTATCTATTCTAAATGTCCCTTGATTTCTTTTTGTCCTATTATTTTTGCTCATTTTAATGCTCTTATCAACATGGAAAAGTGGATCGGCTTGCTTTGTGCAAACATTGTTTTTATTGAAAACAACATTGGCATATACTGTAGTGTTCAATTTCACACTAACATTCTCACTTGGAGCAAATAATCTCTCACACAATGCAACACTGTCCATCAATAAAAGGGTGAAAAAATACTTTGTCACACAAACAGCCCCTTCAACAGCCCTTTCTAAGGGATCAAAACAGAGCAATACAAAATAAAATTACATAGTGCACATGTAAGGTAAACTAGGACTCAGCCTATAGTGCAGTTAAACCATGGCTTAATACTTTTCTCAAGTTTGCTTTGAACATAGCAGTCAGGCTACTGCTCTTTATTCACCAGAGGCTCATCAACCCAGCCTCTTATTTCAGAAAGAATGAACAGTAACAGTTACCAATAAAAGGTAAGCCTACTACTTCTTTGCTTTGAGCCAGTTACTCAAACAGACAAGCCTGTTGACATTTTCAGACAACAAGGAATCCATCCATTTTGGCGTCGCTCGCCATCCACTCTAAACGTAACGTCTACTACTCTTTTTCTAACGTTACTAATTGTTGCAACAGCATGTGAAAAAAACTATAAAGTGTGCTAGGCATTAATCTTGCGCTAAAAAAATTGAATCTGTTAAAATGGGTTTGCGTTAACGCCGTTAATAACGCGTTTAACTGACAGCACTAGTATAATCACCTGAATATAGTCTATTTACATATTTACAATGGAGTGTTTCTACAGTAGGAGAGCATTCAAAGTGTCTTTAGCTATGGATAGGGTGTTCAGCAGTTTCTCCTACACCCTTGGAAGGGGACGGGATGGGGGAGGAGTTGCGATCTGAAACTACATCACTAGATCCCACTAAATCCTACACACTGGATAGTTAAAGAACAGCTGTCATTAAAAAGAGGTTGTCAAATGATCTGCTTTGTAGCCTATATGTCAACAGGGTTTCCACACAGGGCAAATGTCTGTATATGAGTGGACAGAGGAGAGTGTCAACCATGTTGATGGGACATTCTCAGCCTACAAAATTTTTCATTCGTATTTTACTTCCAAGATTCTTTGAAGCTTAGGGCGATGTAAACTGTAAATATAATGTGGCCCTGGAGTCAGCAGCTGTTCCTACTGCAGACAATGTCCTGCTTTGTGATCTGGAGGACAGATCTGAAGGTATACAGAGTGTTTTTATATAATTTCTCATATATTATCAACTATCACACAGGTCTGACCCTTATCTACACACAGGCCTGCATTCTTTTACCCAGTATGTGTTTGTAGAAGGAGCGGGTGAAGTAGATGTTGACCAGCTGTCGGTGGTACAGAGCCAGACCCAGGATGTGACCTGCAAACTGGAAGTAGTTCAGGTGGTCCGGGTTCACTGAGGAGTTACTGTTGGGCTGAAAGGTGGTACCTGTAGATCAAACACACACTTTGATTCTAAAAGATAAAAGTTCTGCTTGTCAGTTGAATGTTATCACAGTGAGGAAAATGTCCTGTACCATCAGCTGATTGAGTAAACAGAGCGTAATCTGGGTTGATGATCTCATTGGACAGGATGTCAAACCACTCCCGAACCACACCCTGGCCCTGAAACACAGAGGACCACAGCACAACTCACTGCTTTGGACTGAATGAAACACTGGACTGGATTAATTCTGATCCAAAACTCATGCAGTGTTATATGACTTAGAAACCCACCATCCCCTCCTCGCCATGGAAACGAACAGCGATGCCCTGTTTAAGTTTCTCATTGGTGGACTTGGATACCATCTCACAGCTACTCCTGAATATGGAGTCTATTAGTGATAGAGAAAAACAGAGTGAGTATACTATAAAAAAAACTTTAATCCCAGGAACATGTATTAATACATCCAGGACCTTTCCAGGAGATTTCTTGCTCACAAACGGTCATATAATTTACTGGTAGTCTTCATTGGTGGTCCTGGGCTTTTGTGCCACGCATGGCTATTCTCGCCACAGCTTATTTTTTGCAGGTTTGCCCTACTTCCTTTAGTTCAAATAAAGTAGAATTTACTTCATCTTACAGAAAATTCATCTTCTAGAAAGTGAAAGTGTTTGTTGCACGTTCAGTTCACATCGCTGTTCAGGTATTTATCAACCAAATCACACAAATTTGATCATTTATAGGCTGTATGCATGTACATATATACCATTTTCACTGGACTTGCCTGAGAATTCCGTTCATGCCTACAGAATGAAAGACTTAAAAGTAAAATAAAAAATGTAATCCCTGCAAAATTTCCTTTAATCAATTTCCATGTGTTTGCATGGTTGGAAAATTAGTCTCTAAATTTCGAGGATGTGTGGGAACTCTGTACATATAGATTGTCCACCTGGAAGAATAACGAATTATATTTTCTGATTACTCAAAATAACAGCAGTGACAATGTATGATGGGATGTCTCATATTATTATAAGCCCTCAAACTCATGGATTTATTCCTGAAAGCGGCCTCACTTTAAAAAAAAAAAAACACTTTTTAAAGCACTGCTTAAAATATAACATGCATGTGTAACCTACATGAAGCAGCTGAATATCTAAATAATAAGTCTTTCAGTAAGGAATTCTGGTGCAAAAATCACACAAAATGTTCATACTGTACCAACAATTGGCATTATCCATCTTTAGAGTGTGTGCAACATTGTGAAGTGTGAAAACTGATCTGTGGGTGGATTTGGGCGTGTTGTTCTCCTTCTACATGGAGTGTGGAATTGGAAGGAGGTGAGCACAGTTTGTACCTCTGTGGATGAGCAGGATGTCATTCTCGTTGACCGGTCGATGAACCATGTCTGAGTCTGGCTGGCCGGCCAGCAGATGCTCGTAGAACCACTCACAGCGATCCTTGAAGGGCTGAGGGGGAAAACAAGACTTCAACCCACACTGCACAGCACTTTCCTAAACTAATTACCACTTCGCTGTGCTTTTAACTCAGACTGTGGATTTTTCAGTCACAGCCGAAGTGCTGAAATACTTGTCTGTAACACAAAGATGAGGCTGGGGTCTATTTGCATAAAATATGCCTTTGTTCTCTAACCGTTGGAGGTAGAGTGAAGGATGAGCGTGGAAGAGAAAGAAAGGCTTCTCCCCTGGGGCTGCGGGGCGTACCAAGAGAGGAATCAGGAGATGAAATCAAATTCACAGGTTAAAGTCTGTAATTAAAACAAGGGCCTACTCCCAGGCGAGCCATAATCCATGGGTAACGAGGCTCGAACGCTGCAGCTCAAATATGAATACTGAAGAGTGAGTGAACGGCACACAACTCGGAGCGGCAGTTAAAATTTATGAAGCCGTATAAATGGAACTTAAGACAAGTGTTATCGCCATGGTAGTTATACTGTTAAATGATCCTGAAGGGAAGACAGGGGACTTTCAAAGTCACTTTCCATGAAGTCCCCGTAGACGCAAACATAGTCACAGAGGTACTTGTCAAAGTAGAAAGTAAAGAAATACTTCAGCCACAGTTCTTACAAGAGAGAAAAACTGAGCAGCGTAGGTTGGTGATGAGAGAAAGTTTATGTATTTTACTCAGTTTGGAGATGATCAATGATGGCAGATTTTAGAAGGTACAGACTCTTGATTAGATCGTCAGGGTACGCCTAGGTGAGAACCTTTAATAAAAATAAGGGTAGTTATGCTGGGACACACTTGTAACATTCTGTACACAGTCTGTACAGCCTTCTTGGGCATCGGCCATCAGTAACATACACTAGACTGAGCACTGGCAAAATAAATGACAATCATATTTAGAATAACGTTACTATTCGCGATGTTCCTATACTTTACTTGGACCATTGACTCCATGCTACTAACTAGCTCGCCATTTACAAATCAACCTACCAGCCAATACCACGAATCAACCAACACCGGACCCACACCTCGCAGCCAAGACACAGCCAGCCAGACAACCCCCGCTCAGCATAGGCCACAGTTAGCTACTAGGATGCCACTGCCTCGCATCACTCTTGGCTAGTAGAAAGCTATAGTTAGCTTTGTATATAATTTGTTCTTAGCTAAAATCAGCACTGTTTGTAATAATACATAAGTCAGTATCCAGGAACACACATGGGGAAGTCATTTTGCAAAGGTTAGTCAGCGTTGTTGTTGTATAGTATATCAGGATAGTATTTAGCTATCAATAATGTTAGCCAGCAAGCAAGCAAAGGTTAGCCAGCCAGTTTCAACCAAGTGTAAACCTATCATGACGTCACCCACTGGTTTGTGGAGTACCGCCGCCATGACAGTAAAACGAAGCCAGCGCAAGCTAGCAGACTTAAAGTACTGCGAGTTGATTTACGCTCATTGGTTTCGCAGTTTTTTTTTTCATCTGTAGCCGGAAACAATGGCGGCTCGCCTGGTCACACACAAAGAAAATATGAAACTAGCGACTGAGACCCTAAACTCATCAGGAAACTGTATACTGAGCTCATAAAAGAAGTGTCAAGTCGGCTTATTCTCCATTGAGGATGGGATTGCTGTGTTATTGCAGCCAACGGTGCTGCCACCTGCTGGAATTTACATAGAATGCAGGTTTAAGACACTTCCAGATGGCTTTACTTTTCAGATCCGGAAGCTCTGTCCATTATATATACTGTCAATGGTTCCAACCCAGTAAAATTAATACATAAAAATAGAATGTAAAATGCTTCAGAATTGTACATATGGAACAATAATTAAAACATTGTTATTCTCATTATTGATGAATCTGTCTATTTAGTCTATAAAATGCCAGAAAACACTGAAAAACATAAAAAAAAATGTTTTTTGACATTTGTGCAGTCTTCACACCTTGTTGTGTCCGAGCAACAATCCAAAAACCCAAATACATTCGGTTTACAGCGGTATAAAACAGAGTAAAGAAGCAAATCCTCACACTAGAGAAGCTGGAACAAGAACAATATTTTCTAGTTCCAGCTTCAAGCATTTATTGATCACTTTTATGTTTATTGACAAATCAGTTGATCAACACTGAACTGATATTTCTTTTTGTAAATGTATTATCATTGTAATTTTGACTGCTCGCTATTGAAAATGTTACTTTGTGCTTTGAGAAAGTGTGGCTGTGTGACCATTTTTTACTATTTGCTGACATTTTATAAATGAAAAAGATATAAAAAATATTGACAGATTAATAGGAAAATAATAGTAATTAGTTGAGCCCTACTGTGGAATTTTTGGAATATGTGGAGTATTTAAGTTAAATATTGTTAAAATGATTTATTGTCTAGTTCTTCTCTCTTACTCTGTGCTGCCTGCAAAAGTGTTTTAAAACACAGCACACTGGATAACTTTCACAGTGACACCAACATATTACCACAAGAATTTTTTCTGGCATTATATACCAGATATACAACGGCATACATGTTCTCCGATATGTGCCGATATCGATATGTCTGTAATGGACCAATAGGGCTCTGATCTAGTGTTCCTACAAACTGAAATGGGGTTTCCATCTACCACAAAGATACTTTGGTACTGCATATATAAATCTACCATATATTGCCATGTATAATTGTGCTTCCATATGAAGTCCCTCAAAATGTTTAATAAAATAATTAATCGTGGGTTACCTGGCCCTTAATAATATGCATGAAGCGTGACATCAACTCTGGACACTCAAGGAGGAAGTGGAAGTGGTTAAAGATGATCTTTGGATTCCTGCAAAAACCCAGAGGGAGAGAGATGAACAGAGAGAGAAACACAATGGGGGGAGTGAGAGAACAAGGGTAGAAATAAATTAAGATCAATACTCTGGGTACGGTGTGAAGTGTGGCAGAGGGCCACAGTTACTCACCTGGTTACAAAACACTTGAGCACCTCGTCATGCTTGCAGACAAACTCAATGAAGCGCGGGGACGTCATTCTGGGGGACGATAGAGGGGGGAGTGAGGCATCTGTTATATAATTAAGTGCAGTAGTACTGGTGGTAGTACTGGTGGTAGCAGTAGTAATAGTAGTAGTAGTAGTAGTACTGGTGGTAGTACTGGTGGTAGTACTGGTGGTAGCAGTGGCAGCAGTAGTAGCAGTAGTAGTAGTACTGGTGGTAGCAGTAGTAATAGTAGTAGTAGTAGTAGTAGTTGTAGTAGTACTGGTGGTAGTACTGGTGGTAGTACTGGTGGTAGCAGTAGCAGCAGTAGTAGAAGTAGTACTGGTGGTAGTAGTAGCAGTAGTAGTAGTAGTAGTAATAGTAGTAGTAGTAGTAGTAGTACTGGTGGTAGTAGTAGTAGTAGTAGTAGTAGTAGTAGTAGTAGTAGTAGTAGTAGTAGTAGTAGTAGTAGCAGTAGTAGTAGTAGTAGTAGTAGTAGTAGTAGTAGTAGCAGCAGTGGCAGTAGCAGCAGCAGCAGCAGCAGCAGCAGCAGCAGCAGCAGCAGTAGCAGCAGTAGCAGCAGCAGCAGCAGCAGCAGCAGTAGCAGCAGCAGCAGCAGCAGCAGCAGCAGCAGCAGCAGCAGCAGCAGCAGTAGTGGTAGTGAGTAGTGGTAGCAGCAGCAGCAGCAGGCGGCAGCAGCAGCAGCAGCAGCAGCAGCAGCAGCAGCAGCAGCAGCAGCAGCAGCGGCAGCAGCAGCAGTAGCAGCAGTAGCAGCAGCAGTGAGTAGTAGTAGTAGTAGTAGTAGCAGTAGTAGTAGTAGTAGTAGTAGTAGTAGTAGTAGTAGTAGAGAGAGCAGCAGTAGTAGTAGTAGTGAGTGGCAGAGTGGTAGCAGTAGCAGTAGCAGCAGCAGCAGCAGCAGCAGCAGCAGCAGCAGCAGCAGCAGCAGCAGCAGCAGCAGCAGCAGCAGCAGCAGCAGTAGCAGCAGCAGCAGCAGCAGCAGCAGCAGCAGCAGCAGCAGCAGCAGCAGCAGCAGCAGCAGTAGTAGCAGTGGTGGTAGTAGTAGTAGTGAGTAGTAGTAGTAGTGAGTAGTACTGGTGGTAGCAGTAGTAGTAGTAGTAGTAGTAGTAGTAGTAGTAGTACTGGTGGTAGCAGTAGTAGTAGTAGTAGTAGTAGTAGTAGTAGTAGTAGTAGTAGTAGTAGTAGTAGTAGTACTGGTGGTAGCAGTAGCAGTAGTAGTAGTAGTAGTAGTAGTAGTACTGGTGGTAGCAGTAGTAGTAGTAGTAGTAGTAGTAGTACTGGTGGTAGCAGTAGTAGTAGTAGTAGTAGTAGTAGTAGTAGTACTGGTGGTAGCAGTAGTAGTAGCAGTAGTAGTAGTAGTACTGGTGGTAGCAGTAGTAGTAGTAGTACTGGTGGTAAAAGTAATAGCAGTAAATGGTAAATGGACCTGTACTATATCGCCTTTCTAGTCTTCCGACCACTCAAAGCACTTTTACACTACGTGCCACATTCGCCCTTTCACACATTCACTCAGCGATGACAAAGCCCAGTACCCAGAATGCTGATGGAAAGGGTGAGAGCAACCAAAACAGAGAGCAGACAGCTCATCTCAGCAGGCATGTCAATAATAGGCCTCTATTGGCTGTTAATTAAGCATCTTTAATGATCTAATTGCACATAATTATGGACCTGGAGAAGGGTTTAAACAAAGAGAGATAAATGTGGGAGCAAACAGGAGGTAGATGAGGCAGGGCTGTTCACAGTGGGAGCTAGCTCAAGTTCTTGAGAACTAAGTATTGAGAGAGAAACAGTGATGCTGGCTGGTGGTAATGTTAGTTTGCCACATGAATGCAGATTATCTGTAGAGATATATGCAATCGAGGCAAACATTCTTTCTTTGTCCACAAGGATACACCAAGGAGTGACAACTCCAGCAGGCTGTCTGCAGACACACATTTCAGCTGTGTTTTTCAGTCGTGTGCCTCCCCTGCATTCTATTTCAGTCAGTATAGCTGTATACACCTGCTGCGTAACAGCACTATTTCACCTGGACATAAGCACATGTGACTGCGACCTGATCTGGAGTTTTTAGGCTTCAATCCTTTGCGTCTCACTGCATGGACTGCATTATTATGAGCTGTGAGCGCTGCCAAAGCATTATAGACAACTGCAGTACTGCAACTGAAAAATCTGGTAGACTCAGAGGCAGAGCGGGTCTTCCACTAATCAGAAGGTCCGATCCCCGGCTTCTCTCGCTGCATGTCGAAGTGTCCTTGAGCTAGACACTGAACCCCAAACTGCTCCTGATGATGTGCACCAGTGTGTGAGTGTTTATGAATGATTAGTTTCTGCTCCGGTGAGCAGTTGGCACCTTGCATGGCAGCCACTGCCATCAGTGTATGAATGTGTGTGAATGGGGTGAGTGTGGCATGTACTGTACAGCGCATTGAGTGGTTAAAAGACTAGAAAGGTGCTATATAAGTACAGTCCATTTACCATTTGGGTACCACTGGCCTTTCACTGCATGGCCATTGCAGACAAGGTGTTCTTACTCTGAGCTTACAGTTGGATGATTATAAAATGACTTTATACAAACAGCTGCACTAGCAGAAAGAAATTGTCAGATCACACTGGATGTATGTCGCAGTGGCTAGCTTCTCTTAAAAGGACCAGTGTGCTGGATTTAGAGGCATGTAACAGTTCAACATGGCAGACTCTGTAGAAGAGGACCTGCTCCTTCTGAAGATAAAAACGTCTCATCCTTAAGTAACAAAAACACGATGATTCTTATTTTCAGGTATTGCAGATTTGTAGAAGTAGATGAATAATATCAGCAGTAGTATAAGTAGCTGTAGTACTAGTGTCAGTAGTAGTACAGCAGTAGTAGTAGTGGCTGTACTGTAATAGAGGCAGCAGTTTTACAGCAGCAGTAGTGAGTAATAACAGTACAAGCAGTTGTAGTAGTAGTCATGGCTATATCAGCAGAAGTACTGCAGGAGGAGTAGTATCAGCAATAGCAGTACTAGCAGTAGTAGCGCAGTAGTAGTACTGGTGTTAGTATTAGTACAGTAGTACTAGTGGCATTAGTAGTAGCAATAGTAGTGTGGTAGTTGAACCAGTCTTAGCAGTAATACAGTATTACTAGTGGCATCCGTACTAGTAGTAGTAGTAGTAGTGTTAGCAGTAGTACTAGTGGTATTAGTAGCAGCAGTAGTAGTGTAGTAGTGGTATTGGTTGTAGCAATAGTAGTGTAGTAGTAGTAGTGTAGTAGTGGTATTGGTTGTAGCAATAGTAGTGTAGTAGTGGTTTTGGTTGTAGCAATAGTAGTGTAGTAGTGGTATTGGTTGTAGCAATAGTGGGTAGTGGTATGGCAAGTAGTGTAGTTGGTTGTGCAGCAGTAGTAGTGTAGTAGTGGTATTGGTTGGTAGTAGTGTGTAGTGGTATTGGTTGTAGCAGTAGTAGTGTAGTAGTGGTATTGGTTGTAGCAGTAGTAGTGTAGTAGTGGTATTGGTTGGAGCAGTAGTAGTGTAGTAGTGGTATTGGTTGGAGCAGTAGTAGTGTAGTGGTATTGGTTGGAGCAGTAGTAGTGTAGTAGTGGTATTGGTTGTAGCAGTAGTAGTGTAGTAGTGGTATTGGTTGTAGTAGTAGTAGTGTAGTAGTGGTATTGGTTGTAGTAGTGGTATTGGTTGTAGTAGTGGTAGTGTAGTAGTGGTATTGGTTGGAGCAGTAGTAGTGTAGTAGTGGTATTGGTTGGAGCAGTAGTAGTGTAGTAGTGGTATTGGTTGGAGCAGTAGTAGTGTAGTGGTATTGGTTGGAGCAGTAGTAGTGTAGTAGTGGTATTGGTTGGAGCAGTAGTAGTGTAGTGGTATTGGTTGGAGCAGTAGTAGTGTAGTAGTGGTATTGGTTGTAGCAGTAGTAGTGTAGTAGTGGTATTGGTTGTAGTAGTGGTATTGGTTGTAGCAGTAGTAGTGTAGTAGTGGTATTGGTTGTAGCAGTAGTGAGTTCTATGATTTTGGGTCTGAGGTGTGTCACTGCTGATACTGTCCATGTTAACTGCTGCTGTATATGTATTCTGTGTATATGTAATATGTATTTGTATGTAATGTATACGTATTGTATGAATATGTAATGTATGTGTAATGTATGTGTATGTCATGTATATGTATTGTATGTATAGGGATGTATAGGGATATATTGTATGACAGTAGAGGCTGAGCACAGACCCTTGTGGCATCTGACAAGAGCAGCACATATAGAATGCCTGGATGACAGCACTGAGACGACTGGCTGTCATGGAGATGACGTCCTCCCCGTCGGCGTATGCCTCTGTTTCCATGACGATCTGAGGGTCCAGCAGGGAGGGGAGCTTTGGCGTGGAGCCTGAGTGGTCGACCTCCCGCTGTTTGAGAAGCAGGGAGGCTATTTCACTGCTGGAGGAGGAGGAGGACGGGTTCTTCCTGTTCCTGTCCAGCTCGGTGGAGATGAGCACCAGCCACTCATCCAGGGAGTGCCACAGCAGCTCCAATGGCTGCAGGGAGACAGACAGGACGTGAGAGGCACACTGGATCAAAGAGAAAACAAAGGCAGTGATCAATGAGGACATTACAACAGGGGCCACTTTGACCTTCAGGGTGTCTACAGGATTTATGAAGCTTCATTCAGGGCTATAGCACCTTATTCCACATTATCTGGGATTGCAGGAAGAAAAAAGCTCAAAAGAACGACCTTTTCTCCAACTTAGTACAAGCTATAAAGTACTGACTCTACTACTGAGTTTTGGGGGGTCACTTGTACAAATATTGATCCTATGGTCTTGGTTTTAAGACACAGTTCAATCTACATTATTCTAATATTATTTATTTAGTTTAATTAGCACACATACGTACTGACCAATCAGCTATGTATTCATATTCCTGTTCACTTTTTTGACAGCTACGCTCTGTTTCTAGAATAAAACACATGCTTATACACCCCAATCTGAAAAAAGTAATTCACGCATTCATCTTTTCCAGACTAGATTACTGCAACTCCCTTCTCTACAGCATAATTTAAAAAATCACTCTCTCGCCTCCAACTGGTACAGAACTCAGCAGCTAGGCTTCTAACTGGTTTTAACAGACGTCAACACATTACTCCAATATTAGCTTCCCTCCATTGGCTCCCTGTCTGTTTAAGAATTGATTTTAAGATTTTACTGATCACTTTTAAAGCACGCTCAGGCCTGGCTCCGAGCTATATTACAGATATTTTAATTCCCTATGAGCCAGCTCGAAGCCTTAGATCCTCAGGCGGGGCCCTCCTAACAGTTCCAAAGTCGAGACTAAAAACTAAAGGTGATCATGCCTTCGCCATAAGGGCCCCTCGACTTTGGAACGCCCTGCCTGAGGAGATAAAGGCTTGCAGGATCGGTAAATTCTTTTAAATCACTTCTTAAAACCCATTTTTATAGACTTGCCTTGATGTGATGTGGTCCTTTTATGTTTATTTTTACTCCAACCGTCTTTGAGTTCTGTTCTACTTATTTTATTTATTCCATTTCTCTTATTTCACCTACTTTATTAATTTGTATCATTACCTGTTATTTCAACTATTTCATGCAATTTATTTGATCGTCCTTTGTAATTGTAAATTGTATTCTTGCTGTGTTCTGTCAAAGCACTTTGTAAACCATGTTTTTAAAAGCGCTATACAAATAAAGTTATTATTATTATTATTACTTGTAGCCTATTGCCATAGCCTAGAAAATGTACAGTCAGAAGATGATAGTTAATAAAGAAATATTGTGGTGCAATAGGTCAATTCTTTTTTTTTTTTTAATCTCACCCACTTTTGCAATTAACACAGCACATACACTACTTCCATCCCACCTTACCCTCCTTATCATTAGTTCTTCCACTACCTCCAGATCACAGTATACTGTATAAAGAGCTCCCACTAACCTTAAAGACCTGGCTGCGAGGTGTCTTGTTGCCGTTATAGCCCATATCATTGCCGTTGTTGGGTGATGAAGGCCCCAGGCGGAACACGTGGCAGAAAATACGAATGATTCTCAGCAGACTCTTCATCTGAGCTTCGTAGCTGCTGGACAGGCTGAGGAGGGACAGAGGGAAAAGGACACGTTAGCACTGCTGCAATACACTGAGAGAGATGAGACAGCTGGAATGTACAGTAGGGTTAAGGTTTTCGGGGCTGATCACCGATCACTGGGTCTACCTGAAGCGTTTTCGTGTAGTCTTATTTATTCAACTATTATAAACAACACTGTATATCAAGATTAAGAGATGAGACAGCATCATGACTTGACAACTGTTTATGTATTGGCAGGTAATATGTGGAACATATCCCTCTCTCTTAGAGACAACTTATACCAAAGCAGCTTAGGGCTTCACAAAGATACAGTGTTTCCCACAGAATGACAATGTGACTGTGGCAGGTATATTTCTATTTCATTATTGCTTATTTCATCAATCTAATTCTCCTTAATTCCCCCATATTTTAGTGTTTCCTTTAACTGCTTCTAATCAGCTTTTCCCTTTCACCCGTGATTTTGTTTTCACAGTACCACGTAAAATATTGCAAACATTAGCTAACAAGATGTGACTATATGTTGCTTTTATCTTTGTTTTTTCAACATAGTCCTGTACTCATGTATAGTGTTTAAATGTGATGTCTTTAATTCTTTGTCTTATGTTTCTGTTTGTATTCCATTTTACTCTCTGTTTTACCTTACCTAACTGATTTAAAAAATGACCGAGGTTTGCTCAACTGTTACTGGAGCACAGAGCAAAAAACAGACGGGACTTAGGAAGGGTCAATTAAAGGATGAGTGTGTAGAATTTAGTGGCATTTAGTGGTGAAGTTGCAGATTGCAACCGACTTCACTTAAGGGTTGTGGGAGAGACTACGGTGGCTGCAAAAAACACGAAAAAAGGCCTTGTCTAGAGCGAGTGGGAGTTTAACTCCGTAGAATTGGGCCCGCTCCCTCTGTAGATAAAAAAGCTTATTTTAACATTCTAAGATAACAAAAACACAATAATGTTAAAATGTTACACACTGCAACTTTAGAAGTAGATCATCAGAAGTTTTTGTTGGAAAAGGAAATGAATAAAACCAACATGTAGACAAAATATACACAATTATACCTGAGAAGCTTGTGTCCATTAGTGGTAGCCACTTCAGCCAGACTGATCAAGATCCTCTGGTAGTGACTGTCACTCTGCTGAGAGACATGCTCCAGAACCTGCCTGAGCTACACACACACACACACACACATCAATAGAAGTGTATATACACAGGGCTTATCAATGCATGTAAAACAACAAGTCATACCATGTTCTCTTTAATATCATCATTCTGGGTCATTTGGATGAGGGTCTGGAACAATCTGCTGTGATGCTGGATGAGGATCTCACAGGTTTCCCCATATCCGCCCTGGACACACACACACACACACACACACACACACACACACACACACACACACACACACACACACACACACACACACACACACACACACACACACACACACACACACACACACACACACACACACACACACACACAGGACAGTAACCACAAGAGCTCAACATTACCTGAACAACACTAAGAGGAAATAAAGAGGATGAAAAGTTAAAACCTCACCTGTACACAGAGATCCATGGGAGTGATTCCATTCTTGTCAGCAAGGTATTTGGCACCTCGAGACAGCAGGATCTGTGCTGTGTCTCTTTGGCCATGGCTACAGAATAACACAAGTTTCAATACAACATCAAGGACTGTCAATACTTGGATATGCAAAGCTATCTGTGTGCATGTTAGAATATTACAATCCAGGGCTGTAACAAATAACAAATAGCTTCATAACGTTAACAAACAAATTCTAAACCAACATTTTAAATGCTGCGCAGGTTGGGACTCGTAGTGGGTCACATCCCTGTCTCCGTCTCTCTCCTCTGCTCTCTGTTTATATGAGGTCTGTCTGACCGGGGACGTAGCTGAGCTACACAGATTGAATGCATTCACACACATTGTGCAGACTTGTGCAGAGGTGTGGCCGTATTTATTTGTGGTTTAGAACATGTGTTCTCAAGTGGGGGCTCTTCTTCTGGGTCGTGGACTCTCGTGGTCGTGGTTCTGAATGGTTCTTGGAGTGTGTGGACTATTATTTTTTTTAAATGCTTAGCTATCTGAAAATCTTCCAAAACTGAGACATTGAAAGGGACATAAAAATTTGACCCACAATATTCCCTAATATTCCAAGGTATTGTAGTATTGTGATGTATGAATTAACAGCTGAGAAAATCCTGTTTTAGAAATGTACATGCATCAGTGTATCCCCAGCCCTGAACAGATGAAGTGTAGGGTTGATTACTGTGATTACATTCCAATGTCATCACTGATAACATCACCTGCAGGCAAAGTAAAGAGGCGTGGCTCCAGAGACGTTTGGTCGGTTGATGTCAGCTCCACTGTCCAGAAGACACAACACCGTCTGAGCAGACATAACACACACACACACTCATATCACATAATGGGAATATACAGTGTCTGGCTGTGTATCTGACGATACGTATCTTCATACAGGGGTTACGATCAATATATTAAAGGAATCAAGGAATCAGGATATACTGCAATTTTGTGAAAAGTCTAATTTCCCAGTCCCTGTCACAGTCCTCAGTTTCTGTTTACAACAATGTTATCCAGTGGTTGGGGTTTAAACAAAAATCGATGCTAATGGATCTATACAATATCACAAAACAGTATATCATGATAACCTGATATTTTCTTGTACTACTCTAAAATTACAGTCCATAGTGCCTAAAAGCCTAACAAGCAGACACTAGAAGCCATGCTGCTATTGCCAAACTTTGACTCCCATGCTCCAACTCCAAAAATACAGTACAACACAGTATTTCAATTAAAGAGATCATTTGGAATTGGCTCACAGTTTTGTGTCCGTTCTGACAGGCTACATGTAGAGCTGTCTGCCCCATGGCATCCTCCACATCCACGTTGGTAACATGCTGGACCAGATCGTGGAGGAGCTCCGTCCGCCCGTTCACTGCCAACCAGTGGATCTGCAGCAGGTTCACAGGAACAGGGTCACTATGTTGAGCTAATTAACCACCAGTCACACAGATAACAGGACAATATTTGAGTCCAATGATTTGAAGATATTCAACACAAGCAGAGGATTACAGTCCACTCACAGCAGTCAGCCCCTCATTGTTGCAGATGTTGACATCAGCATTGTATTCCAACAGTTTCCCCATGCACTTTTTCTGTCTGAGGAAACAGTGGAGGAAAGTGTTTATTATCAGTGTTATCTCACACACACACACACTCACACGTCACTTTCATTCCACGTTTACATTCATACAGTCATATCTTAGGCCACAACATCATGTTTCTGTCCCAGGAGTAAGGTGACAGTAGGGCCAAGCTGCATATACAGGATATACAAATACAGGAATGGATATGTTGTCCTGTCTTGTGGATGGTTAAAATGTATGATGTGTGTGCCAGCCTGGCCCAGTCTGCTGAGGTTTACTGGATGGCTGGGAGAGCTGGCATTACAAAGCATTTAGCACCAGTTAATATCTACACATTAATACCACACTGGCACGTAAAGTCTTTTGACCTACTAATGCCACTAGCAGCATTTCTACAGGAGAGTTAAATGTATCCTGTGGCAGTTTTTTTATATAGTGCCTTTCTAGCCTTTCGACCACTCAATGCGCTGCACCCTACACTAGTGTCGACTATATTTCTTGGCTCTGATAGGTTACCTACTGCAGCGTCATGTTTTAACAATATCTATTTTTATACAGTGTAATTTCGATTATGCATGTTCTGCTTGGTACAGTGGTATGACCAAGGTAAGATATTACTGTGCGTTCATGTTTTATTTTTTTTTAAACTGGTGCCACTGGAGCCTTCCATTACACATCAAGGTTAGCACTTTTTTGTGGAACAAGGTAACAGATTGATAAAATAAATTTGCAGCAATGTTATTTTATTTATTTTTTCTTTTCCTGTGTCTGATAATCCATAAATAAAATTAATCATGGCTTTTCATTGCCTGTATTTTGACAGAGCAGCTGAAGAGTGATAGGAAAATGTGAAGAGAGAGGCAATGACATGCAGCAAAGGGCCACAGGTTGGAATCAAACCGGGGCCGCTGCGTTAAGGACTAAACCTTATTATAACACTATTCCACTGATCTACATGTGGCGTTAATGAGCTAAGAAATGCAGCAATAAAAAAGGCAGTGAAGTACTATAAATACTGCAAACACAGACATAAACAACACAGTATTTAAAATAGTTGCAAAGGGATTCATGAAGAAGGAAATACAACACTGATGTAAACATTTGTTTGTCCACAGGGTACCTTTAAGTTAAAGCTGATTGGTTGGCAGTAAAAGTGAGTTCACTGGAGTCACGAGACCTTGAGTTAAAACTGAACACACACGCACGTAAACAGACATTAACTGCAATGTAAGGCCCGTACCCGTTCCTAGCAGCGAGGTGCAGAGGGGTACAGCCGGAGATGTCCTGGTAGTTTGGGTTGGCACCTCTCTTCAGCAGCAGAACCAGACACTCCACTGACCCACAGCTGCACAGAGAGAAACACAAGAGCAGCAACTCAGAGTTAGAGCAGCAGACAACACACAACCACCTATGCTCAATATGGAAAAGATCAGTGTTGTCAGCATGGCTTTCCAACAAAGTGTCAAGCATTTCATTAACAGCAGAAGGTAGACATGTTAACCACACATTTACTTCCTCTCTTCCCTCTAGTGTTGTCTAGCACTGAAAAATGACATGTATTGAGTTCAAAAGCAAAATCTTCCCTGTTACTTTGGATAATCCAGAGACCTCAATGGAGACATACTAGAGATCAATGGAGAGCTACTCAGGGGACTAGCCCAATAATTAATGCTATGTTTGTCTTATTCTGGATGAACTGCCCCTTCGGTTATTGAGATGAGCTTTACTGCAGACCATGGAATATAATCAACTGAGTGTGTATGTTGTACATTTTTTAATATAAAGCTTGATGTATGAAGCAAAAGATTTGGGGGCTATACCTTGGATGTTATGAGCAGGATAGGGGTACTGTACTGATGTCACACTTAACACAGTATCTACGAGTGTTGTCTCAAAGTGTTGTGGAAAGATGTTTTCATGCCTTTGCTTTAACACACCAAATCCATGTGTGACCATCACAAATAAGGCCCCCACCATCTACGTCCACCTATGAGTCAGCAAGCGATCACACAGAACGCTTCGCCACAAAACCACTGTTTTCTTCTGTGCAAGGAGCACACTCACACCACGTGTCAATGTCACACTTGGCCCAGGCGGCCAATCAAGCAAGAGGCAGGCTTTACTACTTTACTTTTGCTTTTTGCTTTTTTAAAAAAACTTTATTTTGCATGAGCATATTACAACAACAATTTAACAATAAAGTGCTTTAAAGTCAAAGTGCATGAGAAAACATTCATAAAGTGCATATAACCAGAGTAGGAGGAGTTAGAGGTCTATAACGTGCTGTTCAAGGGAGTCTTATCCAACTATTTTACCACTTCCCTCCTTCTTGATTCATATTTGATCAGCACCGCCCAGTTTTAGAGTTTGTTCTGACTTTCGTGACACTGTTGCTATTCGCTGGACGTCATTTGCATAAAGTGGAAGTCACATTGTGTTTAAGCAAATTAAGATATGGCAGCCGGCCAGTTAACTCGCTGTAGAGTATTCATCATGTACCATCTTGCAAAAGTAATAGGATCCATTGACTTGACATGAGCCAATGGATCCAGTGTGTCTGTACCATTAAAGCCCAACACAGAGCCCATACTGGATTTTTGATACTGATGATAATATTTGAAAATGTAAAACATCTGACAATGATATATCTATATATTATATATATATACATATAACTGTAATTTATTGTAGCTTATCACCCTGCATATACTGATATATCTATCAAGTTAATATCGGCCAGTTTAGCTCGACTATGAACCCCCATGTCTCACTACTTAGGCACAAGGCCAAACCTCACACAGCACATCTTTGTTGCAATTCTTTAAATATGTTGGACAGGAGAGAGCGTCCTGGCAGAGGCAAGTATGTGCTTACTCGTAAATGCGATCAGAGTGAACAGTATCTTACTTGGCAGCGATGTGCAGCAGACTTCTCTTCACCCGTCCGAAGGCGTAGTTCACATCGAACTTGGAGTTGAGCAGCAGCTCTGACACTGACCTTTTAGAGGCAAGATGGAACACATAAACAAACCACACTGCTTCTGGAGACAATAGCACAGTTTAACTGCCGTGATGACTGCTGCTGCTTACCTGTGCTGGTCAGCCATGACCATTGGCATAAGTGTGTACACTGCAGTTTCATTGTCTGTGGAGGAAGAAACAAGAGGAATAAAACAGACAGATGGCCCCTGGATGTAATATTCCTCCCCTCTCCCCAAGGATGGCAAAGTCATCCCGCCATAGTCTGCCTCTGATTGGCTCACCCTGACCCTCTAACCCTAAGCAATCTCACTCATCCTGCCTAGAGGGTTGGCACATTCAAAGTGACCAAAAAGGGGACACAATGCCTCAAGCGGGGGGTCTTGAGGCATTGCAGTGTTAAACACTTAATTTCATATGCATTAATTTGTGGTTCCTGCTGAATGTTACCTCAGGTCAGATAGTCCACCATGGGCGAATATTTTTGTACAGCACTGACAGGACCTACTCCATCCGCCATTCAGATCTGTATCTGGACAGCTTCTTTCTTTTAATGGATGGGAGCTGGAAGTACTTGCCAAAAATGTTTTTATAATAACATCAATAACCAGGGAAATGGTGATGAGCTGTTATTATTGTATTATACAGAACGGGTGGCAACCATATGCCTTAACCTAACCAACCGAACCAATGAAAGCAACAGTACTGAGTGGGCGGGTTATGACTTTGCCGTCGTGTGGAAATTTGGCCCCCCAGACACACCTAGGTTTGGGTAACGTCTAGCTCCGCCACTGTTTACACCTTAAAAAGACACTGTCTCGCTTTCTAAATAAACAGTCCAGTTTTAAGATTCCCAGTGACGCCATTCTTCTAGAAGAAGAAAATTCTCGCTGAATAACTGCTGCTGTATGCTAGGCGTTCGGAGCTGAGTCACAAACCGAACATACACACGGTGTTTTAGCTACCGGAGCAGACTTGAACATTACAAACCGGCTGTATAATATCAGCGAGTCACGGCTCGAGGCAGGGTGCCGTGACGTCTCACGCTCTCTGTATTAGCACGTGAATACCGTTGTTTACGCTCGCGCTGTTTTAGCTGAAGCCTGTACGGTTACCTTCCGGGAGTTCTACGGTCCTGGCCCGGCGGAGGGAACGGGTCAGCCGACTGAGCTGTACGTTGAGCTGCTCCATCGCCCGTTCCATCATAGGTGGACGGTCCAGCGAGTAACCGAGGGAACAGAGCCTCGCCCGTCGGTTTTATTTCTTCTTACTGGGTTTGTGTAGTTCCTGGGCGTCGGCCATGGGCGCTGGCAGGAGGGGGGGCCGTTCCTCTGACAGACACACTGATTTACACTACACTCACTTTTTCCTGCATGCCACACTGCTGTGTTCATACACCAACAACTGGACAGCCTCCGGTACTTCCTGTTGTGATGACATTCATGCGCAATGCAGCGTGGGTGATGTAGTTTCAAAGCTCAGTGACCCTTTTTTTTATCATTGAGTAAACTGACGACCCCTGATACTTATGGATATTACGTATTATCTCCGAAACTGTACAATGACTCCAAATAGTGAACTTAGTATTATTTCGTGTTTAGGGATCTTTTTATACAATTCTCTGTCTGTATTATGTATTTTTTTTAATTAGACTTATTATAATTTACTTAACAATTTACATCTACCTTTCTTCACATGAATGAATACTACTGTGTATATTTTTGAAGGTTTTCTTACACAGGACAGCACCAGTGTTTTTGCATTCTGTAGCCCAGTTAGGGGACATCAACTACAGAATGTTTCCATCATACTTTTTCAACACTCACTCATTTCAAGAGTCTATCATAGCCCACGTACTGTGGATATGAGATTATAATGCAGTTGTTAATAACATACCGATTAGCCCTCTATCTAATAAAACTATGCTGTCTGATTGACCATCATCAACTGCAAATAACCGATCGGTTCTTCAAGAAAGATTGCCAGGCCACATTGTTCCAGCCTGCTTCCTCTGCTTCCCTCTTTCAGGTTATGCCTGATTGCTTGGTCCTTTCCATTTCATAGTTGCATTTTCCACCAGATTAGCTCTGGTTCTTTAGAGATTCATGGAACTTTGGTGGTTTCTCTCAAACCAGCCCACGTTTCCACATTTTTACCAGAACCCTATCCATATTCAGTCATTTCTAGCACTCTGTGTCCCTCCCTCCAGCCTACCACACGATGTCAATAATATAATCTGACCTGCATTTTTAAATTCTTTTTTCTGGTTTTGTCATATCGATTTTAACTACCCCTTCATATAAAGTTAAAATAAAAACACAATTCTGTTTTTAATTTTTTAATTTTATTTGGAACAACACAGATATATAACATAATTATATGAGAAACTGCTGTTGGCCTTGTTTGTTCAGTATCATGATAGTAATGAAAATATATTTTGAGAATATTGCACTTTCTTGTAGTACTTGAAAGTTGAAGTGGCCTTGCTATGAGATGACAATACCAGCAAAGAGTCTTCAGACAATATCCTGCATGCATGGAAAACAGAGGAATGCTCCTAAACTCAATCCCAAACAGTAAACACACACTCCAAATGACTACAGTACAGCTAAGCAGACAGTACATCACTCCAGCTAGGTTGCACCAATTCCTTATCCATATCCCAATATTCCTGACACATGCAATAAATGTAATAACCAGAAGGGGCCACTGTTTCATGGTATATAGGAGTGCCCACAGTGTCTGACAGGCGGATCTGAGCAGTCAGATTATTGGTATAGATGTATTCTGAATATTTACCTCAGTCACTTCAAACAAGGTCCCTGCTTAATGGCTGTGTCTCGAAAGCTAAACGGTGTATTGCTCTTGAGAGAAACCAACCAGTTCCTGCATGCATGATCCCAGGGAGTATGGTCAGTCTAACGATATTTCCTGGGGTTGTGCGGTGTATGGGACACAGGACATGCTGCTTTGCCAAAACGCCTAATGATCCTGAGGTCCACTACTGATGATGTGTCCCAAAATTCTCTGACCTGGATGAAGACTGTTCCATCAAAACCTAACTACGTAGTCTGCCTATTCTCCTTTTGCTTTTCTTTTTTTCTTCTGCTCCTCCTTTAGAGTGGGTGAGGACAAAGTAGGAAGAACCCTGAGTGACATGCCATGGCCAGTGCCTTGCCGTGGGCTCTCTACTCCAAACTGTGTAAGTTGTCGGACTGCATGGGGAGAGACTACAAAATGATGGATGGAATGATGAACTGATCTAACTGCTAGTAGGGCTGTTTTCTTTTCTTTTTGTTTGTTTGCTTTCTCCTCTCTTAGTTGTGTAATTGTTCAAAATATGTTTGTTTGTCAATTCATCTTATTGTCTCTTCAAGAAGGATAGTTGATTGTTGAGTCTCATTCCATTCCCAGGGCGTCAAATACAGACACTTTGGGACCCTAGAAATAAGACTCAACAATGGACTGTCCTGAAGCCACCAACCCAAAGTGTCTCTATCTTTCTTGGCTCTGATTGGTTGTTTCAGTCCAGGCCCAGTGGATTCTTGCAAACACCATTAGAAGCACTAGGAGGATCCAGATGAACCTGATTTTTTTTTTTTTTTTTTTACAATTATCTGTCTCATGTTCTACTGTCAGGATATAGTGAAAGTTTCAGCAAATATGACAAAAAGTTACCCACTGCATCTTACCTACCCTGTCACCCACGTTTCCAGAAAGACTGTACTATAAAAGGCATCTAGTTAATTCTTATCAATGGGAAAGTTGGTGTCGCGAGTGGTGGGACTCCAAATACAGCTGTGAGGGGTTAAGGGTTAAAGTCCATGCCAAAAACCAAAGGACCAATGCATATGAGTATGAGTATGATCAGTGGGTGACTGTTTGCACCTCTTGCAAATATCACTTGTATCTGAGTACATTTTTGCCAACACATATTTATCCAGAAACAGCCCTATAGGAACTGTGGTTTGGTAAAATGTTTATTTGCAGGCCTGGATAAGAGATAAATTATTTATTATTAAAGATGGAAATCTTCACATTGGATTTGTGGTTAATACTTAACAGAATTTACTGTAATGAACAAAGCATGCATAGCACATTATGGCCACAGGGGGCACTCCACTCCTACAAATCTTGCAACATGACACCCTGACTCTGACATTCAGTTCCACCTCACAGTTTACCATTCATCTAGAAAAGTATACAGAGCTAGATGATCACATATATTTAATAGGGTACAACAATGAAATCACAATAATCATTGAATCCAAAGCTTTAACATACAGCAAACAGCACAAACACACAAAGTGCAAGGTTTCAAACATTTTCAAAGAATACATTGTTAAATAAAATCTCCAAAGAAACAGAGATCCTGATGTGAAAGTTATGAGCTTGTGGCTAAAACAGTAAAAGCTTGTGTCTACACAAAATCAAAAATATCATACAAAATAGATTTCTTTGTATCACACAAAGAGAAGAGATGGACCAGTTATGTTCTCCAAAAACAAATGAATTTCAAAATTCTGTTTTAAGAGTTATCTATTAGAGCCTGGCCGATACAGGAGACTGATTCTGATATTGATGCTTGAGAATTTAAAGCGGCACTAATATATATTATTATATTAACAATAGATCAGATAACTAAATGTAATGTGAACTGTGTCACAGTGATGAACCTACAGACAATCACCCAACTCTGAAGTTCCCCTCAGCTCTATACTGAGCTTTCTAGTGTCTTTCAGCTCATTGTTTTGGTTTTCAGTCTCAGATTTCAGTAGGAAGCTGGTTTCAGAGAAAAATAATTCAAATATAAATATTAATAGACTCATAAATATTGCTTTTTATTGTTTGTTTTTTACATTTTTTTAAGGATACACTACCACTTAAAAGTTTGGGATCATCTGAGAGGACTACGCTATATTTGTGAATGGTCGTTCATGCTTTTAGTTGTAGAAAGTCCTCTTTACAAATATTTTGTATGAAGGGTTTGCAAAAACAATGAACAAGTAAAAAAATAAAAAGTTCAACCAGACTGACAACTGAAAGGGCAGAAAGAGACAGAGACCCTCTGAGCAACAGTCCAATAAGAACATAAGCAATTAGCAGTCAAGAAACTGGAAGCTTAGCATCTGAATCTGTGCACATTTAAATAGGAACAGGTTCCTGTTTCAGTGTCAAGTGCATGTCATGTTGGTTTAGTAAAGCTATTCTTTCAACTACAAAAAATACACAGACCACTTTGGTCTAGGGATAGCACTGTCGATTATCAGCTAAACTCACTATAGACTGACAGATCAGTTTAAACCTGTTCAATCTGATCACTGAGGAGACTGCAGAGGGCCCAAAGAAAAAGCCTGTTGTGGTTAATAATGATCTAAGCTGAGTTCAGACAAACAAATTAAGAATTGAAGGTTACTACAGTACTCTCACCTGTGATACAGCAGCTGTGGGGACAATGACTAAATGGAAGTCTGAATCATTTAATCATTCTTCTTCCAAAACTATTTCAAATGTAAATAATACATTTGGTGTCTGAATTATAATCCATTATTGAAGGAAGAAAAACGCCAATATAACAGGTGACCCCAAACTTTGAGAGATAGTGTATGTGCTGACGCATTGTGTAAAAATAAACTTCTCAGTGCTCTCTGGTGGACAAAGCACAAACACGTTTCTCTACTTACATTTGTTCTTCCTCATAAACCAACATTCTGTATATATCTGGGGAAATGGCACATGGCTGATAATGTCAGCCATGCTGGTGTATCAGGCTCTAGTTGTTGGGTTGTTAAACAGACCTACATAATATGCATTTTATCTGGTGTGTTCTTTCCCTGCTGGCTACACTTCCTCGCTGCCAGGCGTATGACAAGACCTGGAGGGAGAGGACTCTTCAAAAACGTCATCCTCCATGCCTTCTTCTATGGGCTTCATCTTTGCGGAAGTCTTGGTGCCAGGTGATTTTTCTAAAAACAAGACAAAAAAATTAAATCAATTATGTGTTTTTAAAGGCCAGATTAAATTACAAATGCCTTTTTAACCCTTTACAATTACATCCCTAGTCATATTGTACACAGAGCTGCCAACTCTCACGCTTTCGCCGTGTGACACACGGTTTTGCCTGTTTTCACACGCACTCACGCCACACATCCAATTTCTCACACAAAAAAAATCCGATCTTGGGCCGAGACTCGTTCGTTCCTTTTTAAACTCTCCGATGGTAGATGGCGCTGATGAGCGCCACTGAACCCTGTGCGCTGCACCCATATATGCTGCACCCCGTTCGATATATACAGTCTATGGCACCCCGAAGTTAGCGACAGAAGAAGAGATACCGAGAAAGACAGCGGGAGAAACTACCTCGAGAAGTCTGATGAGAATCTGAGCTGAGAGTATGCAACAATGAAATGTCGTCCAATTGAGTACTCACTCTCTTAAACTTTAAATCTTGAAATAAATAATTTGTTTGTGCGTGTGAGCATGATTTAGTGTGGTGAAAGCTGTCATAACAAGCAGCAGGAGACCCATTTTTGGCTGAATATAAATCATGAAGTGCTCTTAAGAATACAATTATTCACAACATAGGTTAGGTTTCAGTTATCAACCTACAGGTACCTAGGTCAAATCTTAAACACTGGTCTATGAATAAGGCTTTATTGTGATACAGGCAGTCATTTAGGCACAATAATAGTTTTCTGGTTGATGTTCAGCTCAAGTGTAGAAGGCCCTACAAGTCATGATGCCGGACATGACTCAGAATAAGTTCAGGTATTACACATCTTTAGCAGACCACCCAAAAATCCACTAGAATGCAGGAAATCACATCTACTTAATCCAAAATTTCCTGGACCTTCAGCTATGTCTGCTTCTCAGAATGTAACCAATATTGTCCATCTCCAGTAGGCTGCTCCTATCAGCGGCTTTGGGCCTTCCCACAAACCACCAGAATGCAGGGTACAACATGGGTACAACATCAAATGAATTCCAATCCTCTGATATCTGAGCCACCAACTTGTGTGGCTGCGGCGCGGTATAATTTTGGTCACCCCTGACAAAATCTCACTCCAAGGTTTTTTGAAAAGTTGGCAGGTATGTTGTACACCTGTTTGCTAACTGCTGCTTACAGTAATTTTAGATGCCATTAGCTAGTTAGCTTGTGCAGCTAACATTAGCTGACTCAGCCCCGAGGTGCCAGGAGCCAATACCAACAAAAAAAACCAAAAACAACTCAGTATTGTATTCCCTGTTGTCAAACTGTCCGTCGGCATCAAATGCTGTATTCTGTCCCCGTCTGGCTGTGCTGTTCACTGGGAACTCCCAGTGAGGAAGAGTCAGCTAATAGGACCGCTATAGCTGCTGGATGGGGGGACAAGGAAGTAGCTAACTGCTGCTTAAGGTAATGTTAGATGTCAAAGCTAACATTGCCTGACTCAGCCCGAAGGAGCCAGGAACCACCTTGGTTGACTCAAAACTGAAGCTGTGTGTTTGAGGAAACTTCCACATCAACCAACCATGATGACCTTGTTTTATCATGCTTTTACTGAATCAGATGTATCTTCTGAACCCAGAATCCCTGTATAGCAGACAGGTACAGCAGATAACCAGCTCCATGTTAAATGAGGACTCCCACTCTTTGCACAGTGAATTTCAGCTTCTTCTTTCTGGACAGAGGTTTATAGTCCCAACATGTAGAACAAAGCGGTACTACTGTAAGTCCCTCCCTAGCTGCCTGTTTTTACAGGAAATACGGAACTCGCTCTCTGATTTCTGTTTTATGTGGACTTTAATTTATAAATGGAGTTTTGCTCAGGTGCAACCAGGGATGAAAATAATACATCATCCTGGCTCAACAACCAGCAGAAGTGGCCACGTGTCACAACCTTCATCCATATAGCAAACAATTCACACTAGGGGAGGTTATTATCAAATGTGCGTCCGTAAACCCCTTAGACCCCACACAAGATGAGTGGATGAACAGATACTGTGAAACCAGAAAAAGCCCTGTCAATGCGTCTCCATTACCAACGACCGCTGATGCAGTACAGCTCTAAGAGCCCTCCTGCAGAATAGAGATAGAGCTGCTCTTCTGGACTAAAAGCATTTTGAAGAGCAAACACCCCACTACAGGGGCTTTTAGTCTGTATCCAGGCTACGGCAGATACAAATATTTGGTTTTACAGAGTGTCTCCTCCTAATGCCTGTGATGCTTTTACTCTGTTTTGGAGAATATGAATGAATGATGTTACTTGGGTTCAACAAATATGGGTTGCTGAAGGACAAAGTGGATATTAGATAAAAGCTGCAAGGGCAAATAGTCTGTGCTGATGTGGAATTTAAGTATTTTGCGATTCAGTTTTTTCATGAAGCTTCTTCAGCCAGCTTTTACAACAAGAGATACTAATTCCCTGTACTGCAACTGAAGATAGTCCTCACTGACTGATCATGTTTTGAAATATCCCGTAATATTAGTAGTATCCCATAATGCAACTAAATAGGGTCCTCCCTGCCTGGTAAATGTCCATGTTTTTCAAAATTCACTACTCCAGTTTGAAACACAGCCATTCTGGTATAAATGTGTCATCTCTAAGCTGAGATAACCTGATGACATCATCAGGGTTATTTTCTCAGACAAAGCTCCTGTTGTCACAGCCTTTGAAATAAATAGTTAATAAACTATTCCTCCCATCATATCTGAGGTGGACAATGTTGCTGGATATCATTTTGTGCTTTGCTAACTGACCAAAGGAAACAGATCGTTGGAATCGTTGGTCAGGTAGAACACTGAAGCTGTTCACTGGCACCTCATCGATCACTACTAATACGCAAAGACTCCCTTATCTGTATATGTTCATCCAACTAAATTATCTGCATTTGTATCATCAACATATAAAAGATCGATGATGCGTCTCCACTTCCTCCCACTGTACAACAATGAAATCAAAATATCCAGAGTATGGCCGCTGCCCTCTTTTTCGCCATTCAGTCAACTGAAAGTTGTAAATATAACCCTGACAATGATATGGGTTGATCAGATATATTATATTTAGTAAACTATATACATAATTGAGCCTAAGAGCAATGTTACTGATCACAAGAGAACTATTCACAGAAGTTTTCTTTATAAAGCGCTTATAAATAAAATGTATTATTATTATTATTATTATAAAGGTTGCTATATTTACGAGTACGGATATTGACACATTTTACTGTGATGATACTTGTGAAAATGTACATTATCAGTACCGGATAGTCTCTCAACCCCGCTGATCACCACTGTATGTCACGTAAGTGATGAAAGACAGCAAGCTCTGTTGTAAATCGCTCGTTTCCATCGCTTGTTTCCATCCACGACCATTATGTATGAGTTGGTTCATCAAGATAAGCACTAGGTGGCGCCAATTCTCCAGTCAGAAAAGCAGAAGAAGAGGATGCAACAATATGATGAAATCAAAAGAGCGACAGACGACGCTCAAACAGTGAAAAGCATTGCAGAAAACAGGATGGAAATATGACATTAATGTTTGCTTGATGTATTAATGTGAGTAAGGTTACATCAGACCTGTATGGAGCCACCATGGATGTATTATAGAACCATGAAAGTAAACCTGTTTATTTTTCAGATTTTGCCGTTCTTTCATGGAAACAGGGATAATGATACTGGCTGAAACTTTCAACCAGACAAGACAGAGAAACTGCTGTACAGCCTGCTGTTCAGCTAATTAAGAGGCCAAATAAAACATCTAACCGATGGATCAGTGTAACTACTATAAATGAAGGAATGATATCAGATGTTAAAAAGATCAAGCAGGTTAGGGGGGCATTTAGACTTTTAGAAGAGGCAGAATATGGAGCTGTGGAGGTTAAATCTTCTAGAACCGGTGTGGAGAAGTCATGATTTGGTTACAGAATGAATTGAAAGTAGAATCAGGACAGTCAGTTTTGGGTTGGGGTAGGTAGTGCTGGTAGGGGTGAAATAAAAGAGGTGGTCTTACAGCCCTTTCAGGGAATGGCTCAATCTGAGGGAGTAGTCACAGCTGGAGGAGGGACAGGAGGAGAATGTCAGAAAAAGTTTTAGAAAAGCATGCAGACTGTCAGGAAACAGGCCTACTTCCACAGATGTGTGGAGAAAGCGAAAAGCTACAGAACATTAAAGTAACAATGGTGTCTCTTCCATCGAGGCATGGTTTTATTTCTTTTTTTAGAAAAACATTATTTAGAAATTGGCTTCAAGCTATGCATTTCCGTCCAACCACAGTAGTTCGGACCAATCAGTGTCAAATGAGGCACTATGGGTGTTGTTTAATGCTAGGTGTGTGTCAGACGTAACTTGGCGGCTGCTAAAGAGGTTAGTGTAGATGCTGCTAGCATAAGTTCTAGCCGAACTGGAGAGTATTTCTTATTGAAAGAAGAGCAAAGAACGACACTGAAGGTATTCTCCATGGAAAAGAGTTTTCTCTCTTCTCGCAACTGGCTTTGCTAATACTACGTTATATGGTTCGTTGATCTGATTGGTTGAAGTTCATGGTTCATCTAATCACTTGCCAAGTATTCTTTGAAAGTGCCTGCCCTTTCCAACGTTTCCAACAATAACTTTGCCGATGGTTCTGTGGTGTTTTATGGGTAAATATATTGAACATTTGAGGTAATAGGCCACATTTATGGTATACCATCAGAAAAATGTTATCCAATGCAATAAGCTCCCATAGACAGGTCCCCTGCTGGAAGGCCCCCATGCTTACAGTGTCCTGGATACACATTAAAACATCTCGCTGGGTGATAGTGTGACTTACGGAGCGATGATCCAGCGGACCCTCCTCGTAGGATCTGGTTAAGGACGTCATCAGTGTCACTGGTGCTCGCCATGCTGTTCCTCATCTGCATCATAGACAGTTGAGAGCACAGGCTGGGCTGACGGTCCATCTTCTTCACAGCCTGAGACACATCCACATCATCATCCACACCAGCAGAGCAATAAACAAACAATAAACAATAAACACAGTTGTGGCTGTCACACGGCATGATGTTGATGCTTTTGAGCTGGACCCACCTTGTCACTGAGCGTGGGGTCATTCAGAGAGTACAGTTTGTTGGTAATGTCTTTGCCAATGAGGTACCTGAACACCTCATTGAGGAAAGTGTCTGACTCCAGGAAGTAGGTCAGCCTCTCTCGAGACCAACACAGGAACTTACAGTTCTCCTCTGCCATGATGGTCACCTGTCAATCAGAAACAACAACATATTTTGGGAAATTAGGATCTATCCAGGAAACAGGGAAATTATTTTGCTTGGATTTTTATTTATTTAACCTGTAGGGACTTTTAATCCTTGAGGCAATTAAGCAATGGTGGCGCAAATGGAGTTTGTTCATGTCTTTTGTCTGATCTTATTACCTGGAACTTCTCTCCTCTGTGCATCTCAGTGGACCTGAACTCTGGAGAGTCAATGAATGAGTTGGTGTAGATGTTGTGTAGGAAGTGGCCTCGGTATGAAACCTTCATCCTGTCACAGAGAAACTTCAGTGTCAAAACCCTTGAAATGATTCATCTTGGTAATTTCTTCTGAGAGATTTTAAGCCTTAAATCCCAAATTACTCTCAGAATCTCTCAAAACTGTCTAAAAACTTCTAAATTTACTATCCCAATTACTCCAAAAGTCCCAAGTTTATCAGAAAATGATTCCATTGCATCAGGTATCTGGTCATATTATAAACCTACATTAACACTCACATAATAAACACTCACAGCTGATACATGTTCCACAATAGGAAACAATCACTGAGACATATCTGTCACATAAAGGGTGGAGGAAGAGAACAGAGCTGCATCCAAACGCAAACATACTTTCCTTTGAGGAGAATGCTGAGGCGTTCGTCCACAGAGGTCTTGTCCTCTGCGGCATAAGCCTGGCCTTTCTTCAGGGTCTGGATGGTACAGAACTGTCCCGTGAGCCTCTGAAACAGAGCCTCCCGCACGTGGAGGGGCTCAAACATCCGCTTGTACACCGAACGCAGCTCCCTGTCGATCTTAATCTGAGAGAGCAGAGCCACAGCCTGAACTCATCCTTCCAATAATACCACATGAAAAACAGCCTTGAATAATGCTGCTGTGGGCTGTGTGGTAACACATTCAAAGAGTTGGTGAATCGGCAAGCTGAGGGGGACAGGTCTCCTGTCTCGTTATGAAAAGTCTTGGTCTGATTCTGTCAGCTCACCGGTGGTCCCTTACTTACACCAAATCCCATGGATTTTATCTGCATCTCATTACAATAAAGCAATAGGGATAAGGATATGCTGCTTCCTACCGGAAACAGCCATAAAAAACTCAGCACTGAGCCTGAGCATGAATAAACATACTGTTCCCCAAACGCCTGGGGCCATATTTCTATGTGGTGAAACACTCGAATGGCCTGAATTCAAAGCGATTGTTGGGATGTGAATGACAATATACTGGTGTAGAACTCACCGGCCTGCGCTTGTACAGGAGAAAGAACAAGTGCATGAAGTTGACCACCAGAAACACCACATTCCAAACCATCACATCCAGGTTGCACCTATACAGAGTCGCCCACACGATGAAAAGACCACATCCTGGCAGGGTGAAAGACATGGAGACAATGTCTACCCACTTGACTCAAAGTCAGATTTCACAGTTTGATATCTCAGTCTAGTTTAAAGGTTATATGTATGAGAATTAAAACATTAATAAAGCAGCAAGCAACTATTCTCTATGATAAGATATAGTGGAGTCATGGTGTCACACTCCCTCTGCCTGTGCTGTGTCGCAGCCTCTCTGTGGATTGTTTCGATAGCTGGTCTACTCTGTGTGCAGCTGAGTAGAGCGACTGAAACTGCTGTTTTTATCATCTACATCATACACATACATGCATGAATCAAGGATTTATTTTTATTTCAGTTGGTGACAGTTGGAACAGTGAAAAGACTAGAGAACAAAGAGAAAATGTGTTGATGACTTTTATCTTGTTTCTGTTACAAAGTTGCGTTGATATTCAAGATAAGATTATTGTTGTTTCTATGGAGTCTGGTGGCGAGCGATAGTGATATTACAGCTGTTTCGGATTAAAGGGGATTGTTTTCTTAATCAAACAATCAATCGGAGCCCGTCAGTGGCAAAAACTTTTAGGGGACGTACTTTGACGGTGCAATTGTTCCCAAGGATCAGTTAATGTTGTCTGTTAAGCAGCCTGTTTCACCACTATTTTCTCATCTAACTCTGTGAATTAAGAATTTATTTTTTATTTTAACCAATTAAAGACTAACAGGACAGTTGGACAGTTTTGTTGACTTTTATTTAGATTCTGTCCAGTTTGTCCAAGAGTGTTTTATGATTATCTGCTAGGTAAAATGACTGGTTTTGTTAGTGGAGTCTGGTCGGTTGTAGTGTCCACTGTTTTGGACTGAGATGTTGGTTCTCTGTGCATCAGAATAAAATAAAATCATCAAAATTCAGAAAATTAAAATTGTTTCACGATATTACAGTGATGACAATCCCTTGGCTTTTTATCTGGTACTCTTTGGTTTAGCGTGAGGCCTGAGAGAAGTGTAGTGCCTGATGCACAAAATTTTTTTAACATTGCTGATGACCCTACTAACTTGTTTTTGAGTCAATTATGATGCCTAATAATATCTAACATGTTAAATATACTAATATAGTTATGTGTTATTAATATAATTATGACCCATCTAGTCTTTGATAATAAAATAGCCAAACTGTGTTTAAAGTCACCTTATAAGATGAACTACTGTAGCTCTGTTAGTTAACTCTTCCTCTTTCCTCTGTTTCTTTTTCTCTGTAAACCCCTCTGAGACTAGCATGTCCCAGTAGGGGAATATAAATAAATTAACTGTCAGAATTACAACCACATTACCCATAAATCCTCCTACTTCCGTGCCCCACTTTCCCTCCAAGCAGAAGATAAACATGTTGGAAGTGCTTTTTCCATCCGCCATTCTCTCCTTCCTTTATCTGTCATTGGAGCCTTTTAAGGCCTCGGCTTAAGAGCCTCCCTCTTTGTGCAGGACAGGGTTTTAAAAAATCCAGATGTTTCCATTGTTAAGTAAACTAAAGCAAATCCTCAATATGCTCGTGGGAGTAATTTACAGATAAACTTCTGATTAGAGTAAAGATCTGCTGTGATGAACATTGTACTTTCCAATATTCCCATCAGCCACAGTATTATCAGCACAGGAATGCCATCAGTAGGGGGCCGCTGTGTACAGACCTGTCATCAGGAGGAGACGCAGCAGGATCATGTGCAGGCCCAGCGTGGTGGGGACGACCAGGCCCAGCAGCAGGGACAGGTTCCCCAGGTGGAAGAGGAGGTGGTGGGCCTGCTCCCACTCCTGGCACGAGGTGGCATTGAGCTCCGCGGGCGGGACTCCCGGAGGGACCGAGGGGAAGGAGGGCAGCGCGGTGAAGAGGAGGGGGGGCAGCACTGGGGTAGAGGACATCCTGCAGCAGGGTCACCTTGAAGACTAGGACGAGGTTGGAGAACATGTGAGTGGAGGATGATGCATGACTCCGGGTTTATAGGGAACATACTGCTCACAGTCTGCTAATTTTTCTTTATTTACTTATTTTGAAGGGAAATGGTGTATGTTTATTGATTATGTCTTTGTTTTACTTGTTTTCTGTTTTATGTGATTTAAAAGGACCAGTGTGTGAGACTTAGTGGCATCCAATGGTGTAGTTGCAGATTGCAAGGAGAAACTACGGTGGCAGGGAAACGAGCAAAAATCACTTGTTGTGTCTCTGCGCATGGCTATTTGGCCACAACACGATAGTCATGTGCAAAGTGGGGCAATGTCATCACAGTGACAGCGGTTTGGCTGTTTACACAGTGACCGTAACAGTGAGCATTTTCAGGCCCCCAAAACAGCGTTGCCGTGTCAATGAGAGGCCAAACCATGACAATCATTCACCGTTTTGTGCAAAAATTGTTCACTCTCCTTTTAGCTCTGGTTTAGTTTCCATCAACTCCTGAGAGAACTCTCTGGCTCTTTAAAGGGCCAGATGATGATGAGTTTGTGAAAATTAGAATGAGGATGCAAAAACGATCATTCCCACTAATCATGAATCATACTAACGCCTTATGATTTTTTTAACATATTGTGCGGCCCTAGCAGGAGGCGTATAGGAGAAACTATGGTGGCTGCGAAACTCTTATTTAGACCCAGTGTTTGGTTTGTCCGTTCTGGGATACTGTAGAAACGTGGCGGTTCAACATGGTGGACTCAAGAGGACCGCTCTGTAGATAAAAATGGCTCATTCTAAGGTAACAAAAACACAATGATTCTGATTATTTTCAAGTGAAGGTTTAAAGCTGCATTAATTGGTGCATAAACTTGGAGACAGCAAAACAAACTAGTAAACAGTTCCACATCCAGCAGCAGGAGCAACATGAGGAATGAGTCTGTGTCAACAGTTACTCTCCTTTTAGCTCTGCTTTAAAAATATCTGTCTGTTTGTGACTGATTGGTCCACATTTCTACTGCGTTTAGGCTGCCTCCCAATCCTCCCATTATCTCAACCTGAAAGTGGTTCAGATTATTCCAAGATGGTTACCCACTAGCCTCTGTGTCCCACCATACTGTATAAATAACTACACTCTTTATTGTGTTGTATATTTGTAGAGGTTTACTTATTAGTAGGGAAGTAAAAGCCGAAACAAAGAGTATAGCTTTATTTTATTTAGCTGATTAGATTCCATATTTTAATCTGGCTTTTGGCAGTTTGGAACAAAGGTATCAAATAGAGATACAGAAAGAAGCCGGTTGCCTGCTGCCCCTTGAAGCTTTTTTTCCTACCTTTGTAGTTGCCATATAAAAGATATTGATCACTGCAGCTTTAGATACAACTGCTGTGGTAAAAGTACACAAGAAACAACTGACGGCCAAATAATCCTTAATGTCTCTGTCTATGGAAATATTGACATTTGCAATAAAAGGAAACAGTGTATCTCCGGACAACATATTTCCTTTTTCCTGTTTATTCATTGTGTTTCTTTTCTTTATCTTTTAATTTGTTATCTTGAATTTTTCATGGTTAAACAATTTTAATATCATATTTTCATCCAATTTCTACCTGAATCTGTTTTGTGTCTGCAGATACACTCTAAAAAGTAATTCAATGGACCTATTGTCACCATTTAAATAAATGCATGGTTGCAGGATAAAACCTCTAATTGGTTGATTTAGATAAACCTTTTAAGAGTTGTGTTGACATACATAATGAACAACTAGTTGGAACAAGTTCATTAAAGTAGTAGCCTGATCAACCTAAAGACTGAGTTTATGCAACCAGTTATCAGGTCGGTGGTAATTCAAATTCCCTTTGATTGTAGAGGAAAAGCTAATTCCCCCCAACTCAATGTAGTACATTTGTTGAACATAATTTCATTAGAAGCTGCCATAACTCAAAAAGAGTGATCGATAACTGTTATTTATTTGTTGAGCCAAAGCATTTGTGTGTACAAAAACTGAACATAGAATATTAATGAATGAAATATTCCTGTAACAGCAGGAGCAGGAAGTGTCACAGAACATCCTGCATCTATAAATCTCTGGCTGTACACAATAATATTCACATATTAAATCTAGAAATAAACAACATGTTCTTCCTGTGGCAGTGTCAGCGGGGTTCTCTCTCAGGCTGATGTTCTCCAGCACTGGGACTCTAATGTAAAAATAGATGTGTGGACGCACATGCAGCCTCCTCACAAAGGAATTTCTCCCAGCTGCAACTTTCTAACTGCTCGTCAAAGTACCGAGAGGAGAAAGCGGCTCGTTACTTACCGATTGAGCGGCGACGGAGGGCGAGTGTGAGCGCGGAGGAGAACGACTGGGTTCTGTTAGAGACCGGACACACTGCTGGGGACTCGCGGGCTGGACCCTCGGATGGGGGGCTGCACAGTGTGCGTCGCACATTCCACACAGCTGACAGGGACAGACTAAAATGGGCAAGAAGGCGAGAGCGCCGCAGCTGCAGTGACTGAGAGCTCCGACAGGGGGAGACAGAGCACACATAACCCCGTTAATAAATCCACTGACAATTACACGAATCATCCGCCACTGGCACTCATATGGAGGACAAACACACACACACACACACACAAGATATAGAAATACATAAACACATGTGGAAATACGTAAATGTAGAAAGAAAGAAATACATGTAGAAAGAAATAAATCAGTGTAACAATGTACAAACCTCTTCCCTTCAAATACTTATAAATTGACAGTATATTATATCCTTCATCTAAATGTACTGACTGCTCTCATATTTGTGTCAAAGAAAGAAAGAGATGCAGGTTTTGAAGGATATAGCAGCATTAAACCTTTCGGAGTTAATGGACCTACTTTCATTTCGTTAATATGGCGGTACCTTAACAGAGGAATGCACACACTGACTCAGTTGTTGGTTATCTAATCACATTTATTGACCTCAAACAGAACCTATATGAGAGCTATTGGAAACAAAAATAACATCACAATCATTTGAAATATTGCTTTGTATTTAAAATCCAGTCTATTTTAATATGCATGTATATACTGTATATAGATCACTTTACATTATTTTGAGAAAATAAACTTAACTCAAGACCGTGAGCCGTCTCCATGACAACAGAGCAAACTCCCTCATCAATGAAGTGAAACTCCCATCATCAAGAATCAACCTTCAGTCAGTTTGTGTATAATCTACAGAAGCCTGTATGGGATTGTTTACACTGTTGTCAGGGGGAAGACACAGGACACAAAACTGACAACTTGTAAAATAAAGAATCATTTATTTCTACAGTACAATATAGACACAGTCAGCCTATGTATTTACATTAGCACAATGTTACATTAACAACAGGCACTGATCTAACCATCAATATAACACACTGAATACAGTTAGGACATCTGCAGCCATCTCTTTATGTCACTTCATACATTCATAATGTACAGCTCGCACACACACACACACACTCTCCTGTTATATCCTACGGTTCTGTGCACAATGATTTCAATCAACAGTCCAATCAGGAGGCCCCCAGGGTGACTGTGTGATTGGTTGTGGAAGATTACAGAGGTAGAAAAGTAGACAAAATGGCAAGAAGTGTGTGCTGAGTGTCTAATGTTCTGCTTGAAAGCACACAGTGGAATCAACACATGAACCTAGCCCAGAAGGTGCTCAGACAGTGTGTGAGTGTCCGGTAAGGACAGAAAATCCATGTTTCACTTTTACACAAAGAGGCAACAGAGAAGAGCTGTAAACATCCGTGACAATTCCAGACATTCCCAAACGCTGGGAGATCTTGAAGCACCAGCAGCTAGATAGGATTTTACTACAGATACAGCACACAAGCTTGTCTAATACACAGAGATTTGTAGATGGGTACAGCCATGATAATGAGACACCAGATTATTCACCAAAGTACCAGATTAATGGAAGAGTTCAATCTGTCTGTCTGACAGTGAGATATTTCTTGGCTAATAGCTGGTCACAGTGACTGTGCACCATCAGTGTATTAAGAGAAGTGGAAACCACGTTCCAACTAGGCATGGGACAATATAAAAAATGGACCCAATATCCTGGCCAAAATAATTTCAATATGATGAAATTATCCAAATAATCCTCAAAATATGCTTACAAATATTAAAACAGCACTAAAACATACTGGAATCACTGGATACGTCGTCTCCCTGTCGTTCTTTAGTCTGGAATTTCTTTTGTGGGGATACAACAGGCCGGCCTTCAGCCATGGTGACAGGTTTAGGGTTTTAAAATGACTGGACTGATGTGGCTTCAAAATAAAGCAGGAAATCGATATAGGACAGTACGTTAGCGATCTAGACAGCTTTTTTAAATCACTCGTCAGGATGTTCACAATTATCCTGACAATGAAAATTCAGCACAATAACATATCATGTCTTTTATTGTGGTATGTGATATCATACCATCTCTTGTTCCAAGATGGCATCCCTTTCATTTTGAAAAGATAAATGACCATTGGAGTCCTATCTAGCTGAACCTGAGCACTTCCTCTGCTGTTGGCTCCCCACACACACTAATGACATGAAAATAATTTGCACTTCGAGGAGTTTTAAGTTTTACAGGCTGAATCTGATTGGAGGAGTCATTTCAGACCAAATGTTTTACAGCTCTTCCTTCTGTAGTAGTGGAGTGTCTGGTTCCCCCAGTGAGTGTCCCACGCCCCACAACAGTCCCAACCTTTTTCTATCATTTAGTAAACTGACAACCCCTGACTAAGGCATATTTTATGGGTATTTCATATTATATTCAAACTGTACAGTGAACCTAAACAGTGAACTCAGTAACACTGAAGTATACTGACAGTAACTCTGAGCAGATTATTTCCTGTTTAAGGAACTTTTTATACAATTCTCTGCCTGTATTGTGTATTTACGTTACTCATTCTTAACCATACACACTCAATAGCCTTCTTTTATGATTTATTTTTTTTTTTTTGTCCCTGATGCTTGGCCATACTGAGTACTATATACTGAGTGTGGCCCTGACCCCAAAATGGCCTCCTAGCTGATCACTGTTACTGGAGTCTTGTTATCAGTTATATACAGAGACCAACACATCTGCACAGAAATACTGAGTGGTTGGATAAACACTAATTCCCCGTAAAATCACACATTTACTTGTATTTTGGCCTTGTATCTAGGCATAAAGTAGATAAAGATATATATCAGACTATGAAAGATTTATAAACAAACCCCTCAGTAGAAACCTTTAAAGATACGTATTGTAAAATGACCTACATTTCACAAGACACTACAAGTGAATAAGGTCAAATTTGTAACTAATACATATCACCATGAAGACAACTAAATTTAGACAATTATTTTTTGTATTTAAAGTTTTATATAATTGTTGGTTTTAATATGCAATTGAGGCTTTATCTAATGCAAACTTTAGGTGAAATCTACAGATGCATGAGGTACACATAGAACCACACGTTGCCCCACCTATCTGAAAGCCATTCCTACCCCTGTGTGTGTGTGTGTGTGTGTGTGTGTGTGTGTGTGTGTGTGTGTGTGTGTGTGTGTGTGTGTGTGTGTGTGTGTGTGTGTGTGTGTGTGTGTGTGTGTGTCTGCGCGCGCTCAGGCAGTCCTTCCACCCTGCACTGGCACTTGCAGGAATACATCTGCTTTTTCTAATTCGGTCCCTGGCATGTGACAGTAACTCGGTAAGCGGAGATCGTAGCGGTGCCCGCAGCTGTCGAAGGCCTTGTCATTAAGGGAGTACAGCTTCTCTGCAATGTCGTTGCGCACAACCAGGGCAAAGATCTTGGCTATGTAGCGGTGCTTAGCGAAGAGCAGGTAGAGTTTCTTCCTCCTCCACGCCACGTATCGGCAGGGGTTATCAGCACGCAGGGTCACCTGTGGAGAATAACACAGAAGGCATTCGTGTGTGTCAGTTAAAGGGTATTTACAGTTTGTTACAACTTGGATATAATCTGGTTGTTTTTGCCCTAACAAAGTCGTTGTCATTGTGTTGAGATCTGGAAACAGATGGACAAAACTATGAGGACGCAAAAAGTAATAAAATTATACTTGAAACAGGCCAGATGTATGGAAGCCCATTTCTGCCAATTATAATGAGAAACTTATAATAATATAAAATAATAGTAATATAATATTTTGACTATTATCACAAAGTCATTATTTAGAGATGACTTACAAAATATTTTTTCCTGTCACATTATTCTAGATTTTCATATTGTCATCAAATCCTATAAAATCCTGACCTCTCTACCCTGTCTGTGACTCTCAGCTCCAAACCCGCTGCTTCCTACTGAACATGTACATTTTTAAACAGTTCACAAAAATATAGTTTCCTGAGAATATCTCAATCGAGGAGTGGGACAGGGCGTGTACCAAAGCACAATTACAAACAGTGAACACACGTTTAAGATTTCTGCAGTACAACTGGTTGATGCGTTCTTATATAACTCCAGTTAAACTTAATAAATTCAACAGTGACATACCGGATGTTTGTATAAAATGTGATAAGGAAAAGGGCTCTCAAATAAAGAAATTCTGGGAAGAAGTGATAAATTTACAGTTGGAACCAAAACTTTTTCTATTGGGCATTTATCCAGCTAAGTGTAACATAAGAAAGAAGCCTAGAATATTTCTAGATACAGGCCTGTTGTTGGCAAAAAGAGTCATTGCAATTGCTTGGAAAGAGGTAGAAAGACCAAGGATAGGTAAATGGCTTTCAGAACTAACAACGACTCTACCCTTAGAAAAGATTATGTATGCAATCAGGGGTAAGCAACCAATTTTTGATAACATCTGGGGCCCCTTTAGAAACTTTCTTGCAAACAAAGACTTGTCTCATTTAGTGGAACCAGCTGGGGAGGACCCATAACTGGCCCTCTGCAGTTCCTTCGGGAAACGATTACAGTCTGGTGTTGAATGACCTCTATCTAATATATGCAGCATAATGCTTACTTGTGAATATGAGCAATGTGTGGTTGGTTTTGTACTTATTCTCTCCCTTCTTATTAACTTTCATTTTCTTATGTATTACTTGTATTTTATTTTTTATTGTGTAGTCGAGTTGTTGGTTTTTTGTTTTTTTTCTTATTCTGTTGTTGTGTTTTGTTGTCATGTCTTGGTCGTGTTTGATATATGTATGTGTTATTATGTCTGGAAATAAATAAAGATATTTTTGGAAAAAAAAAAAAAAAAAAAATAAAAAAAAAAATATATATATATAGTTTCCTTTTTAAAACCGGTTCAGGACTTCCACTGTATTTGTTAACCAACGTTGCTCAAACAGGAGGAAATCGTGCATTTGTTGGGGACTATTTTCAGTGGTGGATTAATCCACATATGGTGATCTAGTGAGTATTTGGGGCAGCAGGACGGTGTATGTGGCACTGAGTGTGTTGATGGTAATGAATGACAGCCAGTGTGTCTCACTGATGTGTTTTTAACAGTGGAGCCTTCTCACATTGGGGCTGCCTTTAACGTTTAAAGCAGTCAACTATTATCTCCATTAATCAATTAGTTGTTTGGTCCATGAAAAATGTTGATCAGTGTTACCCGAAGAACAAAGGTGACGTCCTCAAATGTCTCGTTTTGTCCACAACCCGAAGGTATTCAGTTTAGTACAGTGACCGTGAGGACTAAAGAAACCAGAACATATTCACATTTGAGAAGCTGAAATCAGAGAATGGACATTTTTTAATGTTAATTTAAGGTAATGTTATGTTGTTAATAACAAATCCCAGCATGACCCAACATTCACAGTGCCAGTCCCCTGGAAGTGGCTCATCTGAATAGAAGGCAGTCAACTCAGTATCAATTCATTGCTGTTTTGGCTCTGCAGACAATAATAATAATAATAATAATAATAATAATAATAATAATTAGGCTGTGGAGAATGAGTGGATCATTTAACTGCACTTGTTGGCCTCATGAAGAAATGTGTTGATGCACATGAGTTAACATGAACCTGGAACACGCCCTCCTCTGATGGTCTGAGAGAGTCCCACTCAGGTGAATCCAGGAACTGGAAAGGGTAGATGTAATGCAGAAACTCTCCGTTAACGGTCACACGGATTCTGTAGGAGAACGGATGGAGTGTTAATATTAACGAATCCACTTTACCATGGGAAAATGTAAAGGACAGGTCCACACTGAATCACACAGGACGCAAAATCTGTTGCTGAAATGCTAATCGGTGATACTCTACACCAGACAGCAGAGCGTGGCTAGTTCCCACCCTTAGACAGATTGTATACAAGTTAGTGTGAGCTGATGTTGCATTAGGTCAGTGGTTCCCAACCTTTTACCTCATTTAGTTAACTGATGACCCCTGACTACATTGCATATTTTGAGGATAATTCATATCATATTCAAACTGTACAATGAACTCAGAGAATTGTATAAAAACTTCCCTAAACTAGAAATAATGTGCTCAGAGTTAGTGTCAGTATACGCTCAGTGTATTTTTTTAAATCATTTTTAACGATCATACAGATTGAATGTGTTTTATTGTCCCTGATTCCTGTCCATTGTTCTATTAGACACTTTACTTTATGTTACATTTACTTTTCTTCACAGAAGTGAAACAAATGCTGAGATAACTACTGTGCCTTTTTTATTCACTTATTTTACAATCTTTTTTTAAATCAAGAAGAACCCCTATGAAGCTATAGCGACCCCTACTGGGGATCCACTGCATTAGGTAACTTTCATGTTGGACACACACACCCATCAGCCATGCAGCCCCATACCAACAAACTGCTCTGCACTGTGTGTTCTGAGACCTTTCTATCAGAACCAGCATTAACTGTTTCTGCAGTTTGAGCTCCAGTAGCTCGTCTGTTGGATCGGACCACACGGGCCAGCCTTCACTCCCCACGTGCATCAGTGAACCTTAGCTGCCCATGACCCTGTCTCCGGTTCATCACCTTGGACCACTTTTGATAGGTACTGACCACTGCAGACCGGGAACACCCCACAAGAGCTGCAGGTTTGAAGATCTGACCCAGTCGTCTATCCATCACAATGTGGCCCTTGTCAAAGTCGCTCAAATCTTCACACTGCCCATTTTTCCTGCTTCTAACACATCAACCTGAGGACAAAATGTTCACTGGCTGCCTAATATATCTCACCCACTGACAGGAGCCATGATAACCAGATAATCAGTGTTATTCACTTCACCTGTCAGTGCTCATAATGTTATGGCTGATTGGTGTATGGAAGCACTGACGCCATCATCAGACAGTCCCACAGACAGCTGATCTTCCATGAGGTTTTGTCAGTTTTTGAATAACTCAAGTGTTTCTCATTAACAGGCTGTCCACAAGCAGGGACAGAACTGACAGCTAAATGGATGGTAAAAGGACTGTACTTGGAAAGTGCCTTTCTAGTCTTCCAACCATTCAGAGCACTTTCATACTACATGCCTCATTCACTCATTCACCCATTCACACACATTCACACACACACACACTGATGGCAGCGGCTACCGTGCAAGGTTCCAACTGCTCATCAGAAACCCAAACTAAGGGCACTTACACACTTACATACGCTGATGTCCAGCATCGGGAGCAATCTGGGGTTCAGTAGTCATTTAATGGATGTGTTGCAATGCAATATTCTCTTACATTAAACTTTTCTTGCACTTAACTGTGTTTGCACTTGTTTTGTCACTTTTTTTTTTTTTTTTTACTGTTTACAGAAACGCAATTCCATTCCCCTGGCCATACCATATGTATTATGATACAGTGGTTACAGTCCAATATATTGCGAATTGTGTCGAGAACACACAACCATAAAACTAAATTACTTCATTATGCAACAGTGGGATCTGTTCCACGTGTGTATCGATGTTTTCTTACACCCTTAACTGATAATTACCTGCTTCTCACAGCAGATACCGATAAGATAGGGATAGGGTTGCACAATAATTATTGGGGCCGATAAATGATCAGCCAGTAATGGGAAATATTATTATTGTAAATAATTACATTACAGCTGATAACTCCCCATTGTTATTTATGGGCCTGGTACATTGTCTCACCTAAACAGATACAGAGATACAACCAATGGACAGGGGAAACACACGTCTGATGCCTCGAACCCTTTTCCTACGAATAGTAGCAGCGATCCTCAGTGCGTAACCTCCGATCGACCTTTGCTGCGTACAGTGACCTGGCCAACCATTACCTACATTACCGAGGTGTGACAAGAGAAGCAAAACTAAATCACAACTGTAACAAGGAGCAGGACTGAGAGGAGCCTGCCTGCCAGCATGGCGGCTGCTAACACATCAGCTGTTCCCAGCTTTCAGTCTTCTTGTGTATCACACACCCGGGCCAGGGGGAGCTCTTTGAGGCCGCTTCCCCAGAGGATTCAACCCACAAAGTCGCAAACACATGTATGTGCTGAGGCCTAAATGATCCTACAGGCAATAACTATTTGATGACTGTATACACAATGAAGTCCAAACTCAGCAGCAGTATGTTTCCCTTCAGATCAACAATATTCAGAGACCGTCTATTGTACTTCATGTTTATTTGTGTGTATGTATTAAAATCTCTTGTGTGGAAGTTGTGGCTGTCCGTCTGTAGACATGTGCTTCCAGAATAGTTACGGTAGTTAGTGAATGTTCAAATGTAAAATGCTAATTTTAGCAGCCTCTTAAAAGATTTTTTTTTTTTTTTAAATAACCATTCATGTTTTGGCTGCTGTATAAAGACAATCTAGCAGCCACTTGAATATTTCACCAGCGTTTGGTGGTGCTAATTTAATGCCCTGGTAGTAACTCACTGCAGTGTCTGAGGTCAGACAGGGTTCCTGTGGGGGAACGGTCGGGGTTAAAAAAGCTGGCAGCTGAAGTGGAAGTGATCATCTGAAAAACGGGATTGTTTACTCAGTAGCCATATTTTCACTCCACACGTTCATTTAGCAGCTGCTGCATAATGTATGCTAGGGCTCAATGTAGGCCATGAGGTCACTCTTCACCTGCAATACCCAGTCAATGTATGAGGGGATTCTAGGCCAAGATAGGGGGTTTCCTAAAGCAGTGGTAGAAAAACTGGGCTTTGTGGACAAACAGGGGTCCTTGAGTGGGTTGTAGGGGGTCCCCAGAACCTGAGAAATACAATATTTTAACTTTTATTATATTTTATAGAAGTTGGAACAAGGAAAGATTCCGGTTTGATCATTGATTGGGGGGGGGGGTCTGTGGTCTAATTTGTATTTATTGTGTGATTGCTTGACCCTGTCCTAAAGCATGAAGCACCTAAAACCTCAGTATGGCTGAACTGGCATATATTTTTTGGTACAGCAATTTTGGACACAAACACTCATACTGTTAAGTTTGCTTTACATTTTAGGCTTAAGAATAATAATTAACAGATTTGTAAATGCAGTTTGGCGGAGAAACTCTCAGGAGATGTAGTCACCTGCAAGACAGGGGCACCGACAACTTGTCTCTAGCGGCTTCCCGTCCATTGGGACTCCGTTGTTACGGTAGAATTTCAGATATCAGAGTCGAATTGACAGCTTTTATCAAACACTCATACTGTTAAGTTTTGTTTCACGTTGGCTTTACATTTGAGCCTCAAGCAGAATAATCAACAGATTTGTAAATGCAGTTTGGTGAAGACACTGAGGTGATAGTAGTCACCTGCCAGACAGGAGCACCGACAGCTTGTCTATGGCGGTTTTCCCCTCTATGGCGAAGCAGTGGTCCTTCTCTAAGGAGTGGATGTCCCCCTCACAGCAGGCCACTATCTTCCCAAAGTGTGTGAGGGACACCCCCAGTCTTTTGAACACGCAGCTGTAAAGCTCCTGGAAGTCCTTCTCGAAGGAGACGCTCCTCAGCCTGTAGGAGACGTGCAGCACCTGCCCCAAACACACCCCGAAGAGCGCGAAACTCCACAGGAAGGAGTCCGTGGTGCAGCTGTCCGACCAAGCCCAGAGGGTGGAGCAGAAGAAGCCCAGAGTGAGGAAGGTGAACAGGTAGATGAGTCCGTAGAAACCGCTGCCGCCCATGAAGCCGAGAAAGAGGAAGATGTTGGCGAGGTGGAACACTGAGCCCTCCGCGCCGTCCCTCCACTCCTCACACAGTGGGTACGCCGCCGCCGCCGGCTCCACCGTGAAGTTCATGGCTTCGAAGTCCGGAGGGTCCATGTGTACTGAAGTGAATCAAACTACCGGTACATTGCACACACAGTCAGCCAGAGTCCCGCACAGTCTGCGGAGAGCTCGAAAACACACTGCAACTAACTGACAGCGCACAGGCAACATGTGAAGCTGACTGAGAGGAGGACGGAGTTAGCTGAGACACCACCGGAAGTAGAAAAAATAAAACGACACGGAGTTTAATTCCGAAATAAAAGCCTTCATATTCAGGGAAAGCGAAATGCTTCAACCTGTTTTGTTAGGGGCAAAAATATATTGAGCTGTACTGAACAGGGGTTGATTTAATCATGATTTATTATTGGGTTTAAACTTTAAATAGGTTTTATTTAATTTTAATACAAATTATAAACATAGTTTTATTATAAATAATTCATTTAAATAAATGAGAAAATATGACAAAATGTTATTTTTGGAAGTTACCTATACTGCAGCTTTAAGAAATTCAAATAACTCACTACTAGTAGTACACTGTTGTTGCTGTGCACCTCTGTCTGTCTGTCTCTGTCTCTGTCTCTCTCTCTCTCTCCCTCTCTCTCTGTCTCTCTGTCTCTCTCTCTCACCCCAACTGGTCGAGACAGACGACCACCCACCTAGAGCCGGAGGATTTGTCCTAGGTTTCTGCCTTTTAACAGGCAGTTTTTCCTTGCCCTTGTCTCCAAGGTCTTGCTCATGGTGGTACTGTTGGGTCTCTGTAATTAATGTTAAAGAGTTCGGTCTAGACCTGCTCTATTTGAAAAGTGTCCTGAGATAACTTCTGTTATGAATTGGGCTATACAAATTGAAATAAACTGTCAGACATATTTAAACAGCTTTATTCATTTTAAGTTTCACTGTGCATGTAGCAGCACTGTAGATAACTATCAAATCATATGCAGTATGACATTACATCACTTAAATTACTTATAAATACTTATACATATTAGTATGAAAATAGTTTTGGACAGTGTTCTCACACTATTAGCATTGATGCCATGTAGCTACATTTCATATGGCCCTGATAATCCATCTTGATTTCTACCTTAAAGTAATAATCAGTTAAGCTAAGAGAATTGTGACCTCAAAGAAAGACTCAATTCAATTTGGTTTAAAACTAAATTATGTGGAATGACTCCAGGTGTACACATTTATACAGCACAGTTCTCGCTTTCTTTATACCTGTTATAGATGTAGCCTACTTAGTCAAACAGTCAAGTAAAATTAGATAAGATGAATTCTAAATTCTTTGTTTGACTGTGTCATTTATTCACATAAATCTGGTCCTTCAAACTCCTTCTGCTGACATTCCAGTTTAAATTTTGAGTTATGTCTAAATCTGTGTTTAGTAAATGCTATAGTAGCATTTTTGGGTAACAATAGGCTGTGTTTAAACTGCGCCATCCAAATTTAAGTCAGGGTTCCCAACCTTCCTGGAAATCCTGGAAAACCTGGAAATTTAGAGACAAATTTTCCAGTCATGAAAACACCTGGAATTGATTAAAATGGCCAAAAGTGCTTAAAATATTGTATGTTGTCCCTCCCGGAAAACCGTAATTGTATTGTAGCCCCTAACTCAGATTCCCCATAAACCTGGGTACTTTTATTTTTAAACTCTACTGTTGGTAGGATGATCTGCATTAAAACTGGAGTTTAATGTGTCAGTGCTCAGCCTACTGGTAACTTACATGACCATTAGTAAGGAAGTGTCAAGAAAAACTCCTGGAAAAGGATTTGAAAATGAAGATCAATGCAGATAAATTGTATGCAGGGCTGTAAATCACAATAGCAAAGCTTTTATTTTGACAGCCAGAACTTATTTCCTATGCCTGTCTCTGTGTGGCTTGATACAGCAATAAAACATGATCTAAAAAACCAAAGCAGTGGTCCTCTTGGTCCTGGTGTCCTCCTGATTGTAAATATGAAATGATGGATTTAATGTAGAGTGGTGAAAAATAATAATAAAAAAATACAAAAAATTGACAGTGAGCAGCAGCTTGAGTGAGAGCACAGGTGAGCTGATTCCTCCTCATTCATCAGAGTTATGGAGAGTTGGGAGAGTGAGTGATCTTTGTGGACCAGAATAGCAGCAGCCCCCTCCTCTCTATGAGCCTGGTGAAGGTGACATTGACTATCTTCTGGATGGGAGAATGTGAGTGTGAGATATCTGGGGCAGCAGAGGCGGACAGAGAACCCCTGGGTGTAGAGCAGAAACACTCTCACCGGGTCTGGCCCTGTTTTGTCAGACGTGGGGTTAATGACGGAGGAAAGCAAACGGACTGAGGGGCATCAGATGCCTGGAGCTATTTTTACTGAGGATGGGAGCACATGATGGAACTGAGTTTTTGTGTGTGTGTGTGTGTGTGTGTGTGTGTGTGTGTGTGTGTGTGTGTGTGTGCAAGTATCTGGGTCATGTTTGACATACGTACACTGTAAGAAACAACAACCTGTAAGGTGACAGGGTGTTTACTGTTTATTTAACAGATCTTTTCTGTCTCAAATACATGTAAATATTAATACAATTACAAAAATATCCTGTGCATTTACATGTCTAATATAAAATAACAGTATCTGAAAATAATCCTAAACTGCTCATTTAAAGTCAGTTATTTTGTTTTTTTACAGTATTTTTTTTCTTTTTATTATTATTATTTTTATAGTGTAAGGCAGATAAAAGGATTTATCTCAATACATATTACCAGACACCTAACACCAGATATTTTTAGAGCACTTCAAACCCAGGCAGTGTGTGTGTGTGTGTGTGTGTGTGTGTGTGTGTGTGTGTGTGTGTGTGTGTGTGTGTGGTGTGTGTGTGCGTGTGTGTGTGTGTGTGTGTGTGTGTGTGTGTGTGGGGTGCGTGTGTGTGTGTGTGTGTGTGTGTGTGTGTGGTGCGTGCGTGTGTGTATGTGTGTGTGTGTGTGTGTGTGTGTGTGTGTGTGTGTGGTGCGTGTGTGTGTGTGTGTGTGCGTGTGTGTGTGTGTGTGTGGTGCGTGTGTGTGTGTGTGTATGTGTGTGGTATGTGTGTGTGTGTGTGGTATGTGTGTGTGTGTGTGTGTGTGTGTGTGTGTGTGTGGTGCGTGTGTGTGTGTGTGTGTGTGTGTATGTGTATGTGTGTGGTATGTGTGTGTGTGTGTGTGTGTGTGTGTGTGTGTGTGTGTGTGTGTGTGTGTGTGTGTGTGTGTGTGTGTGTGTGTGTGTGTGTGTGTGTGTGTGTGTGTGTGTGTGTGTGTGTGTGTGTGGTGCGTGTGTGTGTGTGTGTGTGTGTGTGTATGTGTATGTGTGTGGTGTGTGTGTGTGTGTGTGTGTGTGTGTGTGTGTGTGTGTGTGTGTGTGTGTGTGTGTGTGTGTGCGTGCGTGCGCATAGGGGCTGCTGAGTAAAGAGCTCAGAGAGCCACAGGTGACAAAGTTCCAATTAGCACTAATATTGGTGAGTATGCAGGGAGCGATATGGTCGCTGCTGTTGGGACGCAAATGTGTCCAGTCACACACACACACCACCTTCCCTAAAACACACTCAGACAAACAGCAGTAATTAATCTCCTTGAGAAGATGAGCTTTAGTGTTTTCTGCCAGTGCTCTCTTATTTTTAGCCACCCTCCCTCCGGATAGAACACTCACTCTTTTGGCAGGGCAGCAGTTGCAGGGATCTGTTCTGGTCCCAGAAGGTCTCAGGTTCCAGCTCACAGATAACAGCGTGTGATCCAACTGTCCTGAACGACACACTAAAGCTGAATGGGTCAGTCTCAGCAGTCAGTACTTCCAGCAACCGAACATTTAATCATGTAATCGCCTACGGTTAATTTATTTGGCGTAAAGGACCTGTGTGTAGGATTTACTGGCATCTTGTGGTGTAGTTGCAGATTACAACTCACTTGTTTTAAAAAAAAACACACATGCCACACAATGCTCATTATTAGGTTCATACATTAATGAACGCATACTTAATGAATATTATATTCCATTTCTGTCAATAGAGCCTCCTCAATGTTACACACTGGACCTTTAACAGAAAAAGATGTAAGAGCAATAATGCTGCATGAGGCCCAAGGTCCAATGCCCAAGGACATTCTAAAAATGGGTTATAGACAGATTTTTTAGTTGGACCTAACTGCTGTACTGCTGATGTCGTAGCATTGATATTGAAAGTAGTTTATTTGTTATGAAATCTCTATTAGAGATGGGACAATACAATATTATCACGTATTACTCTACAAAACAGTCTGACAAATTTATCGTGGTGAATTTCCATTGTGATAATCCTGAATCGTGAATATTGTCAAAGGGCCTGATTGAAAAAGCTGTCTAGCTCACCAGCATACAGCCCATATATTTCCAGTCATTTCAAAACCCTACTCCTGTCACAATGGCTGAAGGCCAGGATGTTGTATCCCCCACAAAAAACAGTTAAATCAGATGTGTGGACATACCAAAATAAAGATGAGATGAGGTGCCTGCAAAATGTAAGGTAAAGTGATTTCATTATGTTTTTGTGCCTTTTTAAGTATGAAATATTTATGGTTATGTTTTATTTGGGTTACGTTGTGTTTAGGGGCAGGGATATGTTGTGTTTAGGGTAAGGGTTGTGCTGAATTAGGGTACTGCTCCAAACGAAGTGGTTTAGACCATCTGAATTTCCAACCTGGTCAGTGGTCATTGACTCATTAACTGACAGACTGGATAGAGATTCCTCCAGGCTCATTTTGGCTGAACCTGGTTTTCTCTCACTGTAATAGATTCCTACCACTGGCATACCAATGAGACGTACTCCTGCCTGAAAGGCAGCGCATTGCAGCTGGTCCAGGTGTGGTTTGACAGGCCTTATACCTTGTTAGAGAGACTTACAGGGAGCTACAGCGTGACACACTGTTCATGGTGGCTGAGGAGGGACTTTAGGTGGGCTCGAGGCGTGGGCAGGCAAGATATGAGGGTGAAATCAGAGAGTAGGAGGCAGGAGACACTACACATTATTCTGTCTTTAAAAGCCTTTTAAAGCATAAAGGCAAACAGTTCAGGATAAGTGCACAGAAATGGGATGTTTGCCATCTGATGTGAGTGTAATATTGCAGAATTTCTTTAGCCTTTTCTCCCTTGACCAACCCCATCAAACATTCATCACGAAGCGTGAAATCTCCACCTGGGAGGAGAATAGAAGCCCATTTACTCCTCATAACCCACAATCAAAAGAGTCTCTGCTGCCTCTCCTCATACATAGAGGGGGAATCATTGTCACTCTTTGCCTGTCCATCAGCAGGGAAGATCCACGCTGATGATGTGTTCAAGTCTTTATAAGAGAGGAAATGAAAGA